TGAAGTCCAAAAATAAACAGCTTCAACAGTCAGTCATCCTTTGAGAAACACTGAATTGTTACTGATGAGCTGTTGACTTGTACTTGTCATTATGAGGGATTTGTTATGTTATTCAACTGCAAATAAATATGTGGTTTTAAAAAATAAACTAAATACATGATCTTTTATTTAATCTATTTTTATATATAAAAATTATCAAAATCTTTTTTCTTTAAATTGATTGACTTATGAGAAACTGACTGGTAGCTAAGTTCAGCTTTTTTCAGAAAGTCAGTTCTTTTTTTCTCCCAAACAAGTCATTTTATTAGCATCTGCAGCCTCTATTCTATTTTAACTTTAATAATATGTATGCTTTGTGTGATAAATCCATTTACATTAAGCGTTCCCTATATGTGAAGCATTATACTTGGTTAATTTTATGTTTTTGTTTTGTTACAAAAGCAGGTATTCTTACATTTGTACAGTTTAACGAAACTTTAAAGTTAGTTATTCCCTTCACAAGTCCTAACCACATTTAGTGCTGTGTGTTCCAGGGACATGGCAGATGATAGTTGTGTTTAAAGGCTTCAGAGGCTTGAAGACAATGCAATCATAAATATGTCTGATGACAGAAGAGAAAGCATTCTCGACCATTATATCTGTCAAGGTTAAACTCATTTATGTGTCAGACTTTCAGCCACAAAATAGCAGTACAAAAAAACAATGTACCCCTCCATTGAAGGTTGAGGAAAATGACATTGCTCGTAAGCAAAATGATGCATGACCTGTTCTTGTTTTGCTCTTTATCTAGTACAGAAGACCCCAAAGGGTTTTACACTACATTCAGTCATTCATCCATTCACACACACAACCATATGCTGATAGTGGTGAGTTACTACATTGTAGCCAAAACTGCACAGTCTGACAGAGGCAAGGTTGCCAGGCACTGGCAACAGCAGGCAAGGCGGTGAAGTAACACCAACCGTACTGTCGCCACAGTTGCTCTAACAGATGATGAATGATGAGAACTAAAACAGACATAACAACCATTTCACTATATCAGTTGTGACTACTCTTTCCTATTGTTGGTGAGCTTCCTCCTGTTGTGATCTATCTATTTGTCATGCATGTAACCTGTGACATAAAGATGCTTGCACATCTTGTGTGGATGCAGTATTTAATGAACCTAAAATAAATGCAGGCCGGTTAGAAAAAATTTTAGGACAGTAAAGAATTTCCCTGTTATCTGCAAGACAGACTGGCAGCAAAATTATATTTGCAGTTTTATTGCAGTGATTCATCACTGTGTTACTTACTTTAAAAATTTCCCCAGCTGTCCTGAGTTGTTTAAGCAAGCTTGAATAATGACTCATGCAGTCTGCGATTTATATGTTGTGGCTATTTTTGAGTTACTTTGCTTATTGTTTGCAGTGCTTGTGATTGTGCCAATAATGGAGTCTACCATCCATCTTCCACCTCCTCCAGGTCATTTGAATATCCTTAAAAGCCAGCCTGTTGCAAAACAAGCAACCGTATTTCTTTTATCATGATAAATACAAATGGGGAGAGAAAGAGACTCTTAATGACCTGACACTCATCTCCCCTCTACTACCACAACCATCCTAAATCCTGACACCTGTGTTGGTATACGAGGCAGGCCTGATAGATAGAGGGATCTGAAAAGTGATGGAGAGTTTGAATCCCCATCTGTGATTCTTCATTTAACCAAAACATCTGGCACAATGGTAGATGTTGGTGTCAGTTTCACTGGGGATCAAGGGAGATCATTCAAATGGTATTAACACTGAGTATTTTGACTCTCCTTAAAACTTCCCAGTGCTCTATTTGTGTCTTGCTAAATTATTCATACCCATTAGAATTTTTTAATATATAACATAAAAGTCCTTGTTTCTTATGTTATTTTATGATGCAAACAAAAGTACAATTAACAAAATAAATGTGATGTGCATTTATTTTCAGCCCTACTCAGTCAATACAATACTGTGCAAAACCACTTTACACTAGACCTTTTTATTTATGCAGACTTTGTCATATACCTCAACAAATTAGAAAAGTAGCACACATTTTAAAAATGATTTGCCCATTTCTCTACTCAAAAACGCTCTTGATGTTCATTCATGGAAAACTGACAGGCTTCACAGAAAAGCTGGGTTTATTGTGAGATTATATCGCGAACGAGGGGACTTGTTTTACTGATTAGATAAGTTCTAAATGCAATTGTTTGAACTGAATATTATGTATGTATACCAGAGTGAGAACAACTTAATACAAATGCATGCTATTTTTTTATGTCTGAACATTTTTTAAAACTTTTTTTTTTTGCACTACTTTCTGTTTCTTTTTTCCTTAAAATTCCCTAAAAAATGTGTTTCCAGTCATACAGTCACAAAATATGGAAACGTTTGCTATGAATACTGTTGCAAATCAATGTATAGTCAATCTTCCAGAGGGATTTGTTTGAGTTGTGGCCAAACTCTGTTCATCTAAATGCTGAGTAGTAATGCCACGGCCAAGAGGGCCACAGGAATTATGACTACCCTTTGCATGACTCCCTGGCTAATAATGGCTCTATTTCTGTCCTCCTGCTGAATCATGCCCTCAGAACCGGTCATCACTTTCCTCCCCGGATTGTTCCACACTCCGAAATATATCCTCTCTAGCTGTCATGTGCACAAACATGCTCAAATGGATGAAAACTCAAACGTATCTGCTGTTGCTGCCCTTCAAATTCCCAGTCTACCTACCTTGTGTGGTTGTCTGTTTTTGTTTTCTTTAGCATGCATGGCTGCATCCACAATAAGGTCATTTTGGCAATATGAGTCATTAACAGCTTAGAGCAAAATACACTGCACAGATCATATTATGTATTGACTTCAAAAATACAGGTGAACAAAAGGTCAAACGTTCGAGGGCTTCATTTTCACAGAAAAAAAAATGCAGTTTGCATATTTCAAAATAAAGAGCCCTTTTTTTCTGGCACAATTTGCTTATGTTACAATTATAGTGTTCTGTCTGCATTGTAATTTGGTTGTAATGCTATTAATTCAGCATCATAGCTTTTCTGAAGCTTGCTTGGAGTTTGAGATCAACGTTTTCAATAGATTTGTGTGATGCATCATATGTTCAACAGAAAGAAAAAAAAACACAGATTACCACACCTTAAATCCCTACCAAAATGATGAACCCACAATGTAAACTTCAATGAGTGATTTTCCTTCTTTCTTCGTTTCAGAGTGAAGTAAAGCTTAAATACTCTTTAAGCTTTGATCAAAAACCCATGAAGCATACTTCTGCTTTAAATGTTTCAGGATGAAACTCCACTGCATAAGCTTTTATCTCAGTTAGAAAATAACGACCAGTCAAATCGCAGAATGTGTTTGTGATCTGTTCATCAGTCTGTCATCCTAAAGATTAACTCCAACCTCTCATTTGCATTTCAAAAAATAATCCCTCTTCTTTCTGTCAGCAAATGGACGAAGTAAGAGGACGAGAGTTGTCAGCTTTCCTTGAGCAGCATGGTCCGTACGTGTGCTATTCATTGCATCCTTGATTTTTCCACCATCATTCATGCCTGATGAATGAGCCACACTGCAAAGATTTCCATGTTTTCTCTGCTCTGCAGGCTTGTTCATTAGTTCATTACTTTAAAATGTTTTATGATACTTCCAATCATTTTTTTCCTCTCGGGTATTGTTGAATAAAGAAAGATAGAAATAAAAGACCTTTTCATTTTGAAACACTAGCTAAACACAAAATCCTCACTCATCCAGAATCTGTTTCTCAAATGTTAAGCAGGAAGAGATCAAAAATTAACTCCATAATTTTATATGTAGTTATAAAATGATGAGTTTTTTTTAATAAACATTTAGTTGAAGCATGTTACAAAAAAGTTTCATCTAAAACATCATCACAACATATTTTAGTTGAAACAATGCAAGAATATGTCAGTTTCAGCAAAGGTCAAATGCACAATCTTTATATATAAATTGCCTTATACCAGTACACTTGTTGTGTTTCTGAATTAAAGAAAGCATTCAAAATCCATTGAAAGAAAAATGAAAATTTCATTCTCACAATTCTGGAAAAATTCTAATGTACAATATGTCTTGCTATAATTAGGAGCTTTGTATTCAAATTGTCAGCCTCACGTTTTTCTTTCTTTTTTTATCAACACTTCTTTTGTTTCTCAATGTTTTAAACCAGTCATATGCATGATTTCCCTAAATATCTGAATATTGAAAGAAAGCATGTGCCTAAGACATCTCAATATTTAAGGAAAGCATGACTATCCTGTTTCCTGAGATTAAATTGCAAACAATCCTGGTTAGAAATTCAGATCTAATTACAGGTCATAGGACGTCATGGAAACTCCTTTTATTTCTCTGCTTACAAAACTACAAGCTGATGGACAGGAAAGAGTGCATACTGTGGTGTGCATTCTTTCCTGTCCATCAGCTTGTAGTTTTGTACACTCATTTATTCAGGTGTACTGTGTCAGGTGTGTGGTTCCCATAGTTTGATGAGGAAACATCAGCACAAACAGCTGTTAAGCCAGAGAAGTAGTGAACAAAACATATTTAGACAAGTTTAGACAACACCTCTTTCAATACAATTAAAACATTCATATTTTGATACTTATGATACCACAGGTGTGGAATATAAAGTTGTTCTCATTACATCTAATTTCAAAATCAACATAAAAAGTGAAAGAAAATGTAAAGTCAAATCTGACGTGTTTTTGTGTAGTTGCAATATTGCCTATAGATCAATCTTTTTGATTGAGTCCAACTATTTAAATGCACATTACTGATAATATATGAGTAACTATCATAGATAATATCAACAAGAAGAAGTAGGCTATTTTATGGTAATATGTTTGACTGAAAAAGGTTACAAGTACAATGTGAGTATTTTTGTTCTTTGTTTATAAAACAATAATCTGTTCCTGGATAATTATTTGGTCATTGGCTTTTAAAAAAATATCCCCCTATCTTTTTTAGCCATCACCTACACACCGAGCTACAAGAAGAACCCCCCTCCAGTACCGCCCCGCACCACCTCTAAACCACTCATCTCCATCACAGCCCAGAGCAGCACTGAGTCTACCCAGGATGCGTACCACGAGGGACGACACCCTCATGGCGGCCTATGGGCCCCCGATGGCCTCGCTCTTGGGCTGACGCCAGGAAGGGCCCTCTATAACTCCACCGACAGCCTGGACAGCACCAAGGCCGTGACAATAGCCATGGAGGCAGCTGGAATCATGGCAGGAAAAAGGCATCCATCCACAGACTCTCACAGCTCAGTGCTCACCTGTGACAAGGCAATCCTGGTGTCCAAGGCTGAGGAGTACTTGAAAACCCCACGGTCCTCTATAGGGATACAGGTCAGTCATCAGATAAATGTGCACAGCAAAAACATCCCTCACTTCATCACGAGTCCATCAATTCTCAACTCTAAATTATGCAGAGCTTTAATAATCCAAAGAATTTATGAAACTCATAAATTCAGCAGAGAAACAGTGCTGTCCTCTGTGCAGCTAAAAATAGCAAGAGTGAGTCATCGCTCTGCAAACCATTTAATTAAGATTCAATGCATGCTGGAGCAGCTTTGGGTGAATGGTAGTATACTCATCGTTTCATTCACTCCTCCCTTAATAACTCTGCCCTTCTCTTGTTGTTTTCAATCACACAGTTTCTCTTGTGCTCTGTTTATCACCTTAAGTTAATTCATAGTTATATTTAGAAGTTTTTCAAGTTTTATGTGTTGATGATCTACTGTTATCTTTCTCCAGTGCATAGGGTGGATTTTACAGATGTAAACGACTTGTGTTGCTTTAAAGTCACAATCAAAAGGCGAGATCTTTTTCATTAAATCTACTGTCACATTTTCTTATCTTTCTCTATTTGCCATCATTTTGAAAAACACAGGTTACGTGAGACTTAGCATTAGAACATTTTGGAATATCAAGTCGTAAAAGTATGAACTGAATGCCCAGTCTGCTTGGACGCATTCAGTTTTATATACAATCATTGAAATGAGTGTGTGAAAAAAAACAAAAACAAAAAACACCGCTCTATCAGACTCAGCCACGAGGTTCTGAATTTCTTTAAGTTTGTGCTAATGAAATCAAAGTAATGGCCTTCTCCTTTTTCCCAGAAAGTCTGTTACTCAAGATTGATTTAACGCCCAAATTACATTAAGTCTATTGATTGCCAGATGTTGCCTTAAGGGCACCAGTCAGTTAATGAATATTTCGTTCAAAGTCAGTTGATCCTGCTATTCATGTTTGGTTGAATAATGCTTAGCAAATATCTAGCAGAGACATTTGCACATTCAGAATATTTTCATGTAATTTCACCAACTGAAGTGGGGTTTGTTAATTTACATACAAACAAAAGAGAGAAGTTTTAGCAGATCCAAAATTGAAATCCCATCAAATATAAAATTTGAAGGCATTTCTGCCAGAATTATGTCTTTTCCTAAATGGCCACATTGTGACTCAACTAACATATGGAGTGAGACAGAACATGATAACCACAATGACACTCTGAGCTGAACTTTCATTTTTGTGTTCTCAAATATTAGGTCACATTAATCTTCAGTGTAACAAATCTCCTTTAATCCTGTTTGCAGCTCTAAAGAGGGAAAGTAATAAAATTCCACTAGACCACAAGTCAGAATGTATTGATTATAAATAATGTGCTGAATTAAGGTACACCATGAAGCATAGATTATAGGCCAGGTTTCAAAATGTTCTGGATTCTTTTCAAGTACATTTCTGGTCAATAAACCTGACGTTACTATTAGAATGCCAGTAAATAGTATTAGAATTTCCTTATTTCATTGTCCTTTGTTTTTATTAGAACCTTATCAAGTTGAGAATTCCTATTTTTCTTAAAAGCTTTGCTTTCTTTAAAACATTTTTTTATAAAGACTTAAATACAGCAGCAGGGACTCCTTTGGAATTTCAAACATCAATGCATAGCTGGGAACCCCCGTTGACCTCTTCATCATTCTGTATAGACATTCAGCCTTCCCTTCCACTTGTGGTGTAATCAGCACAAATTCACCTTCTTCTGAATTGATTTGTATCATGTAAGAGGTCAGCCAGTTTGATAATGAAATCTTTAACCTCATGGACAACAGTCTTGTCTTTACTTTCCACAGGGCCTCCCACAGGGACCACTTTAAAGCCACTTTCTCTGCACTTTTCCTGTCTTTAAACTGCGAAACAATTACATTCTCAGCAAACTCCTTTAATTGGCTCCATCGTGATGAGGTCATGTAAACAGAGGGGTTGAAAATTAAGCTTTAAAGTTGCCAGGTGTATATCTTTTTGCTGATGCTCATATTTTCCACACCTGTTCTATCATTGTGACTGTGACCATTGAGACCGTGCGTGTGAAAGCATGTGCATGCCTAAGTGTTTCTGCGTACATACACTAAAGCACCTTAAGGGTAAGTAATTCTGTTGGACATAAATCGCACAGCCCCTGACCGTCTTTCATCAGCCCTCATTCTCTTTTCATGAGCAGGACTTTGCTCTGTGTCTAAAACAAAGTAATGAAGGTCACCTCAGCAAGCTGCCGCACACTCATTTCCTTCTCGCTAACAGCTTCTCTGAGACACCCAACAGAATACCAAATAGATCTTCAAAAATGTCACTCCCCGACTTAAACGTCATTCCAAAGGTTGAGTTTAAAAAAAGGGCCTGAGAAATTATTTGCACCCCTTCAACTTTTCCACATCTTGTCACAATACAAACACAACCTTCAATTTGTTTTATCTGGATCTTATGTCTTAGATGAACATAAAGTAGCAGATTATTTTAAAATGGAAGAAATATGTTAAGATGTTTTACAGATAAAAATTTGAATGATGCTACATGAATTTGTATTAATCTCTTTTTTAATCTGATGTGCAGTGTTATGCAGTTCCTTCAGAAATCAAATTGTAAATAGGGTATCTATACCTTCAATGGACGCACCCACTATTGTTTACCAGAGCTCTTCTATCACAGTAATCCAATTTCAATGCTTTCAAATTATTTATTTATTTGTTTTTGGATTATTTTCCCAAATTTTATAGAAATGAAAATTGGGGTGAAAATATTTGCAAAAAAGACATGCAGCCATAATTATCCTAACGTTATGCCAGTATGATGTGTTTTAAGCCAACTGTTAGCACCATTACAGAAAGCAAGAGGTTGCCAAAAAGCTGAGAAGACATTTTTTCATGAACCAAACATTAGACAAATTAACTCCAGTTGACATGAATGTCAACACATGTCTGGGCATTACCAGAGTAATTATGCTTGGCTGTAGGAAAACAGTGCTGGCATTGTGACTGCATTGCATGCACTGTTTGATCCTAAATAAAATCGGGACATACCCAAGATACTTGAGAAGCCATGCACATCCTCACTACTATTAAAAAAACTGTCAAAATATGGCTCCAAAATGTCCAATAAAATATGCAAAACCACATTGTTTCTCTTACCATCTGGATCAAAAACATCAGATTTTTTATGTGTTACCCTTTTTTTAAACCATAGCTGGTTCTGTCACAGAAAGAATAGACTCTCTAAGTTGAACAGAAGAAAAATATTCAAATGGCAAACAGAAACGTCTGTCAGTCTGCAGAGAAAGAAGAAAGACTGTGGCAACAGGAAATTAATGTGAATGCTTCACAAAGAGAGGTGAAAGTCATAATTTGGGAGGTGATGAGGAACAAAGAACAAGAGAAAGAAATTGTGAAGAGCCATATTTAAAGTGAGAAAGAAGATGGTTTTGAATTTAGACTGCACAGAGTGCTACATGGTGTGATAAAGAGTGAGTCTGCAAACGCTCTTGGGTCGGTACAGTTGTGAGTCATGATAAATTAGAAATACACTGATCAGAATTTGTGTTTGTGTTTTGTAAAGCTTTGGCATGCTGATGTTTGCCAATCTGGCTGATTCTGACTTCTTTTTAAGAATTACAAAGCAATGAATTATAACTGAAGCGTTCAAAAGATTTGTTTTCTTGTCATGTTCATGTTCATTTGTTAATTGTTTACGATAAGAGCTGGGTGACAGCATTAAGTGGTCCATAAGATTTTACATTTATTTTAAAAGACAAAATTATAATTGAAGTCATATTTTAAACTATGTTTCACAGCTTATATACGGTGTTTGCAATATCTGGGCCATCTTCGAAGACACTCAAAGTGTCTACGAAAAATATAATAAAGAATATAATCATGGCTATCCACGGAGGTATCAAAAGCAGGTGTTAAGGCAAGATAGGTCTTTTTAAAGGGTTTTCTTGGCTCTAGTGGCCTTTATTTGACAGTGAGCTTGTGAGAGGGGACGAAGACATTCGGCAAAGGTCAACAAGCCGGGACTTGAACTTGTGAAAGCCGCGTACATGGGTCTCATGCTTTATCCCTGTGCCACCACCACCTCTCATAGATTATTTCTCTAAATACAATCTGAGATCGAATAAACATTATAGACCCAAACTAGAGGTCAAAGAGCTAAATTAGTCAGAATTATGACTAATTTAATATTAACAAAATATTGAGGCATGCCCCTTAAACAACTGCCTCTGTGTGCATTCCCACAGAATATTGATTCTTACCTGAGCACAAACATTTCCAAAATCCTGCAAATTGATCCGTTCAGCCTTTCTGATTTCTCCTGCACGTCATAATCTCTTTCACAGCCTGAATTAACCACAAGTATTTTTGAATAATGTAGTAAAACATCCAAGTTACTTTTAAATAAATTTGTACACCTCTGTGCTCCCTTCGGAACATCTGCTAACTGCTAACTTTAAGCAGTTAAGTGCTAGCATTCCTTCAGTGATTGCTAGCGGCATTCATTAGACACAGTGGTCATTCACCACCTGCGAGGTTAATGGTATTTCGGTGTCATAGACACTCAGCTTCTTGCCCTATGATCATTATTGTGTGTGCCTGAAGAGAGAGAAAAGAGCAGTAGATATTTCATCTAACATACAAAAAAAAAACAAATGTGAACGAGGCACTTTTTTTAAATCTAAGAAAAGGCTCTTTGTAAGTTTGAATCATTTGGTATTGAGTTCCTTTGGTTAAAAAAAAAAAAAGAAAAAAGAACTTCCTGCTTCCTTTCGTATATCATCAGTTGTTCTCTAGTCTTTGTATCCTAGGCATTATTTTCAAAACTCTAAAAGGCATTATCATAATTGGCATCAAAAATACCTGATCCTTGTTAGTACAACCCATCAAACTACAAATTTGTCGTGTTTTTATGATAGTCTCTTGAGAACAGCCTACAACAAGGCCACAGAACATGCATTGATTTATGTAATGTTACAGAACATTAGCAAACAAACAGCCTCATGTAGAGCAAGGAAGACATTAAACAGCTCGGGAAAACACTGGAATAGAAATTTTAAAATGGCTAAAATATGCCCTATCTTTGATCATCTCACAAAGCACTGTTCAATTAATCGTTTTAAAATAGGAACATGACACAACAGCACACCTCCCAAGGCATAGTCTCGCACCGAAAGTGACAAGCAAGGTGTAGTGAGCATTAATCACAAAAGCAGCCTGTGATATCTCTGCACAGAACATAGAGCTAGAACAACAATGAGATAATTTAGATGAAGGAAATATTGTTTGCGTCATAATAGCCTCGTTAAAGTCAGGAACTAAGTTCAATTGAGAATCTGTGGAGACTCAAACATTTCTGTTCAAGACTTTTTAGGCAGGGCCTGCCCAAGTCTCCATGGGGCCCTAAGCGAAATTTGATTTTGGGGGTCCTTTAGTTCTGTTAACAATGTGGACTGGGATTGACCAGAAAATTGCAATCGGTGCAGCTTTACACGCATATTCATGACATTCTTTGATTAAATAAATTTTTCTTAAGTGTAACTCCAATAGCTAAAAATTTCAGTTATACCAGGTGAGACTGAGAATGTGGACCAGTACTGGTACTGGACTGATTTTGTGCCTTCAAACGATTCTAACAGAAGTTTTTTGTAACTTAGAAGTTAGTGTAAAAATAATGCTTGTTTTAGCCATAAAATGATTATACTCGGCAGCAAGCAACATATCCCCAACTACAGCATAGAGTAGCTCATTGATGCAGCAGCTATGTAGCCTGACGTACAAACATTTTGCCAGACAATGTCAAACATTGAGGAGTTTTAATTATTGTTATCAAACAGTATCAAACACGGCGTGTTGAAGCCAATAATACCTCAGAAATATACAGAGGCAACCATGAGAATCGACTTATTTAAAGTTAAAACTCAGTTTCTCACAAACACAAAGATCCTAGCATAAATGTCTGGCTGTTGAACTGGACCGTTATCGCTATCAAGCTAATTTTCTATTAGCAGCTTTACTAATCTTTTACATTACATTACATTACCAAGACACATTAAAACAAACCTTTATCTTGTTTCTTTTTCTAGTATTCCTCTTTCTTTTCTCCCTCCCTGAAGGATAAGTCCTTTTTGAGATATTGTTTTGTTTCTTAACTTCTGACCAGAGCTTTGGACGTTTGGATGTGCACTGCATGACAGCTCAAGTTGCCGGCAAAGCATGCAGTACCAACCGCAGTCACCAGGGGCCCCCAAGAGCAATTAATTTTTTTTTCTTTTTATCAATAAAATAATAATTTCTACATACATTATCAAATATATCATTATAAAAACAAATCACTTCATAACCACTTCATTTTCAAAATAAAATAAAAAAATCAGCTCCACTGAGGGGGCTCCTGAGTGGCCTCGGGGCCCTAAGCAGCTGCTTAGTTTGCTTAGGCCTTGGGCCGGTCCTAATTATAGAAGTAAAAAGTGGTTTTATGATGTTTCTAACCAGGGCTGTATCCTTTGAGTTTCCACATCACATTACATTTTGTTGCTCTATCCCCTACTTGCAGTGTATAAAAAATACACAGAAGTTTGTAGTTGGAACAACACAAAATGCTCATATTAAAGTGATTATAATAATTTAAGTGTGAGCATGCACAATTCCCAGTCGCTAATGTTAGCAGGAAATGCTTCCTGCGCTGTGCCACTCACTGCAGGAGAAAGCATTTGTTACCCAGTGAAAAATAAGTTGGACTTAATGTTTCAGTGAAATAAAAGTATACAGTAGTCAGGGTCAGAGAGAAGAGAGATGCTGTAGGTGACACTCATAAAATTCTAACTCTAAAAGATGAAAATTACTCGTAGTGATTACTGAGCCATTTTTATGAAAAATCTAGAAGCAACCCACCATAAACCCGCAGCTACAATTTACTTTTTGCTGTTTGATATAACGTTTCCTGTTTCGATTAAATTCTGGACAAACCCACAGTCCACAGTAGCAGCCCTCTGCAGTCTTTTTGCCTTTGCAGCCACTAATAAATCATACAGTGTTTACTTTCTGACGTGCCATGTACAGTTAAGTTGCTTGGTCCAGTCCCAACCCAATAAACCCAGAGGCACAGGGAAATGGCAGCTCACATAATGAGAAGCACTGTTGGTTTTTATCGTTTCTTCAACCAAGGTGGAAGCAGCCACGGACTCGGAGTCTGAAAGCAAAGGCTCACGGGAGTACCACTCTGTCGGGATCCAGGTGGAGGATAACAAAAAAGGGTGAGCTAATGGTGCCTAGATTGTTACATTATTTAAAAAAATCTCCCTTTGATGTTTGAACTCTCTAAAATAAATGCTAGCCCTGTTTTCACTGCCATTACATATAATTTTGTTGATTTTCATTCATCTTCTGCTTTGTTTTTCAGACAGGGAAGGTTCAAACGCTCTAACAGTGTGACGGCAGCAGTTCAAGCTGACCTGGAGTTGGAGGGCTTTCCCACCATGGAAGACAAAGGTCTGCAGTTTGGTGGGGGATTTCAGCGTCATTCAGAGCCCAGTACGCCTACGCAATATGGAGCGGTGCGCACTGTCCGTACGCAAGGCCTCTTTAGCTACCGTGACGATTACCGCACCACCACTGAACCGTCCAGTCCACGCGAGACGACCAGCGAGACAAGCTGGCAGCTAGAGCCCCCATCCTCACGGGAGAGTGCAGCCTCAGCAGGTGAGTCAGGAAGGGTGTCTCCGTCCCTCCGGAGAGATGGAAGCTGGTTCATGCAGCTGCTCCACACGGAGACCAAGAGGATGGAAGCCTGGTGTAAAGAGATGGAGGCAGAAGCTGAGGAGAATGACCTCTCAGAGGAACGTAAGCATCCCATGCTTTACATGTCAAGCATGAACGAAGGGTCTTCAGTGGATTGTAATGAAAACATGTCACACTGTGTCTCTTCAGTTTTAGGTAAAATTCGAAGTGCAGTGGGAAGTGCTCAGCTGCTCATGTCTCAGAAATTCCAACAATTTTACTGGCTGTGTCAGCAAAATCTGGTAAGACAAGGTTATGTATTAGAGATGTCAACTATTTATACTAAGCTCTGCATGTTTTTGTTTTTGTTCAAATGAGAGGTAGGCGTGGAAAAAAGGAGAAACTTCCTCAATTATTTTCTTGACCCATATTTAAAGTAATTGGATAAAAGGAGTTGCTGACCTCCTTTAGAGATAATAACAACATTGCTGATCAGAACTGGAAAATATCTACCTGATTGCTGATCAGAACTGGAAAATATCTACCTGAATGCACAAGCATTCAATAACCTTTAGTGGTAAATTATACAGAAGTACTGGGTGAGAGTGACAGTTTAAGTTGCTTGAACTCTCAGAAAACATTTCTCCTGACTTTCTTCTCCTTACTAGATAAATCACCCTATGAATAAGAATTCAAATTGGATACATAGCTAACATCTTATCTTGAGCTACTATAGTGTTATGAGTTGATGTCTGAGTTCAGCATCCCAAAAACAGCATCAACACAATGTTTTTGCTTACCTTGTTCTCATTTTCCCTTTTTAACGTTTTTGTTTTTCACTTTTTCTGACACCTATTGACAATATTTTCCATCCCCACCTGACTTGGCTTCACAGTCATAGATTGGGGCAGTGGTACCCAAAGTGTGGGATGCGCCCTCTAGGGGGGGCTCAGTGCCACTGCAGGGAGGACGCAGGAAGCGATATGGATGAATGAAATTTTTTTTTAAAGTTACACAAAAGTGTTTCACTGTGAAGATGGTTTGCAGTGTGTTTTGTTGCAACGAGAAGTGAAATGAACTTCGGTGGAGTTTGAAAACAAAATATGTATATAGGTTTATGTCCGGTTGAACGATGTGTGTGCCCAGTTGATTTTGTTTTCTTTTTTGGGGGGGGGGGGATTTTATTGTAATCTATGGGGGGGCCCAGAAAATATTTGGGAACCACTGGGTTAGGATAATTTAATTTGACATTACAATTAGAGTAACGATCTTGAGATATAGGCCTGAATACAATTGGAAGGAAAAAGTTGTGAAAATTAAAATATGAGCTCTTTAATTTCTCTGCAGAAAACCTTTTACTTTTCTATTGCAGCATTTCACATGTTGGTGTACAAGCTTTAAATGGGTCACACTGGGTTTTGTAGCACTGATTAATGAAGTCTAGATTGAACTTTTGAGAATCTGAGTGTGCAGTTTTCTTCATAATATATTAGTCACTTCACATTCTTAGGTAAGGATCAAATATATATATATATATATATATATATATATATATATATATATATATATATATATATATATATATATATATATATATATTTTAGGTGCAGTCATGTAACTTCATAATCTTTATCCCCACCCCATTTCAGACATTTAGTCCTTTACCTGCTTACAACAGTTGCCTGAATATAGAACAGATTGATTTAAGCAGCATTGTCCGTCAATAGGACTCCATCTTATTTATTTGAGCATTTTGAAATCACGGAATTAGGAACATGGGTGAGTGTGTAATTAGTAATTTAGCTTTAAAATGAATGTGTGCTTCATAGCCTGTACCATGCAAGATTGGAGATTCTTCTTCTATACTTGTGCTCTTTGTAAGTTGTTTTACAGAATATAGACAGGGAGGCAACTTTTTAGATGAAGCTGGTTTGGGGTTATGAGAGATAGAGTTGCTGTTTTTTGCAGCATGCAGCAGAAAACACTCATTCAGAAGGAATGGCAACCGGGGAATTAGATAGTCTGAATAAGCCTTATAGGAAAAGTCAAGTAATTTTCCTGTTAAAAGAAACAGTGTTATGTAAGTTTAGGGAAGAATTTGCTTTAGTTAAAAAGGTCTGACCGCATAAATCTATATGCAACAAAAATCACTACATTTCGACTTCATCTATGAAATCCCCCACAAACTAGAGGCTTTAAAAGAAATCTAATTTTTATTCAGTTCCTCTTGAACTCCTCAATTAACTTTCGGAGAGTCTTATTTGAAATGTTTCATAGGCAGACAGCATATTTTAAGTGCTTCATTGGGAAGAGCTAAACGGCTTAACATTCAAAGCCAACCCTTGAAACTCCCAAGCCAATCTTACAACTCTGAAAACCATAGGATGTTTTAAACTTGGCATCGAATGTGTATAATCAAGCACCTGGTGTGCACAGACTTTCAGTTTGTATTTGAAGATAGGAGTAGTGTATTCTGTTCTCTGCTCAGAGCTCTTGGTTCTGCTTTGACGAGTTTTTTGTATGACGTGGAGGAATTTTTAAAACAATTCTGTTAGCCGAATTGTTTTAATTCTACATCATTGGAGGGGTTTCAAACATCATCTCTGACTTTTAGTTAAGACTCAGACCAGGCCAAACCCTGGATATAGTTTTTCTGAGCTGTTCATGTATGTTCTAGATTTAAATGAGTCTTCCTGTATTACCAGTGTGGTTGAGGTCAACTGATGGATGAATATGACAAGTCATACAGACGTTTTCTTTATTTACAAAGAATGAATTGGTAAGCACACCAACTAAAAAGTTGTTTTTTTCTTTGATTGTTTTTTTTTTTTTGTCTTCTTTGGGATCATAAAGATGACTTTTGCCAAATGTGAGAAAGGAGATGCGTACTCTTTTTGATCAGCAGTTCTTTTTACCTTGGGGCATTTATTGCCTTTCACTGTCATACATCAGAGTCACAGAGCCTTAAAATTGGCTTTACAGCCTTTTCCAGGTTGATAGATCTCAATGACTTTGTTTCTCCTCATTTTATGCTCTCAAACAGGTTCTATTTAATTAATTTCTTGATTTTACAGGTCTGACAGTAATAAGGCTTGAGAAAAATTGAACTCAGCTTTTAAAAAAAAGAAAAAAGAAGGTTAAACACAGTTTATTCATGATTTAACAAGTGGGGCAATTTCTTTTTCACATAGGTTTCTTTGGATTACTTTTCTTTTAATAGATGAAGTTATTGTTTGAAAACAACATTTAGTATTTACACAATCTATCTCTGACTGATGTTAAAATATGTAACATCAGTCAGAGTTTATCTGAAACATGCCAGTGTGGCAAAATAGTAAAAACATAAAAAAATATATGTCAGGAGCCAAATTCTTTTTCAAAGCACAATAAAAAAAAAGGAAAATAAGGAATAAAATGTGTTTAAAAGGGGTGACAATGGAAAATCTGTAACACTTTTTTTAAAGGGGTGTGCATAAGACTGCAGTGGCACTGTCATAAACATTGTATGACACCTGTTATGAACATGAATGTGTTTTCATGAATGTTTATAACCATTGTCATGAAGTGTCTCTTGGTAAATAATGTCACTTTTCATACAAAGTTGATATTTTACATATACATTTAATGTAAGTTTTAATGGAACTTCGCATTAAAATTGTCATTATTTACCAAATGACCTTTCATGACAACAGTTCATAAACATTTATGAAGACTTCTTCATGTTCAGAAGAGGTGTTATACCATGTTCATTTCAGGCACTATTCTGAAATCACACCCCTTCAGATAATGTGTCACTAGAAAATGTTACGAATGAAAAAAATTGCTACAGAATTGTGAATTTTATGAAGCCATGATATAGCAGCAAGTGAAAATCAGCAGTCACATCATCTAAATGTCATGATTTAGCTTATTATTTATTTCTCTTTTACATATAATTTTTACCTTATGCTGCTTTAGAAAATGTGTAGCAGGAAACAAATTTCTATATTAAGTAGAAATTGATGATTTGCTAAAACCTGAACCAGGTCAGCTTTGGGGACAATGGAGTGTTTCTCAATCTGTGTTCTTTTCATCTGAAAAATCAAATGATTAATAGGACCAACGTGACAAAGACAGTTTATTGTTCCATACCTCATCCATGAAAATATGCCAGAGGTAGTCCCCCTACACTCTGATTTTTTTAAGTCTGATAAGGACACCTAGTGGATCTGAGCTGAAATGCAGTAAGTAGTGTTTTCTGCATCCTGCATTTTCTCCCCAGGACCCTAGCGCCATGCCGCGACCCACCTCTCAGGACCTGGCTGGGTTCTGGGACCTGCTGCAGCTCTCCATTGACGACGTCAGCATGAAGTTTGACCAGCTGCAGCAGATAAAGAACAACAACTGGCGACCAATTGACAGCCCAGAAAAGAAGGTAAGGAGTCAGAGTCCAGGTTGGTGATATTTTTTGTGGAAGCAAAAAGTAAAACAAGTTGTAGGCGGGGAAGGGGATTTATGACCGTTGTCTCCATCTTCCTGCAGCCACCAGCTCCCATACCAAAGAAGACAGTAAGACAGAAGAGTGCAATGACCAGGGAGAAATCCCTGGACCTCCCTGACAGGCACCGGCAGGAGGCACGCCGGCGGCTCATGGCAGCCAAACGTGCAGCCTCTTTCCGGCAGAATTCAGCCTCAGAGAGAGCGGACAGCATTGAGATCTATATTCCAGAGGCTCAGACTAGACTTTGAGAAAACGTTGGATCAGGGATCTGTACCTTTCCCTGCTCCTGTGCTCCAGCAACTCTAAAACTAGCCTTTTTGTCTAGACTGCTTCTCTTTCAATTCCTCCTTTATCCATCTCTGGTCCGATAGCCATCCTCAGTGCCCATCACCAACATCACTGGACTGAAGGATGTGCCGAGGCTATACTTCCATTGCCAAAAACGTACATCTGACATGGGTTGGTTGGATCTTTGTGTTGGTTTGTTGTGATCAAGATCTACCATCTCTCTCATGTCTTGGATGGACACATCTGTAGTTTTTCAGCATTTGCAAAGTGCCATTTTAAAAGGAAGAAAAGTGCAGCTTTGAAAACCTTACCAGCAACTACACCTTGGAGCTAACCATCAATGTGTTCATTTGGAGTTCCATGAAATTGGTCAAAGTTTAGAACCATTCACTATTTTTTAATCTCTACAGATTACCTTTGCTTCTGCAGGATTTAAAGGATTGAATCAACGGCTAAATATCACCAATTTGTTGAGTTTGAAAAAGTGCCAATGCCTGAAATACCTCAACTACGTGCACATGGTACAGGTTACCTATTCAAGGTGCTTCAGGCAATTCCTACTAAGCTTTTGATTGGTTAGATGTGAAAAATGCAGCCTTTTGCCATGTCTAGTCATGATAAAATATTTAGGTGTGCATCTTAATAAATCTAAATATAATTGAAAAGTTTATTTATTTCAGTAATTCAAATCAAAAAGTGAAACTCACAACCAATTATTTCACACTTAATTGGTAATTATGTCTTGTATTAATGAAGTCCAAAAATCTGTTTAAGAAATTTTGAATATTATGTAAGGGAATTTTTTAAAAAATATTTAAATATAGTGAAATATTTGACTGTACCTTTTCCAGTCACAGTTTTCCTTGCACTCAACTTTCCATCCATGTTATTCTGAAAATTGGAATATTGGTAAAAAAAAAAAAAAAAAAAAAAGACTTTTGTGGCTTACCCTCCTTGTGGAGTTTGTACTTAATCTTTTCTCTTTTTGATGTGAATGTCTTGAAAAAATGTCTCATTTAATCATATTTTACTTTATTCAGATGCACCCAAGTTCAGTGACTTGTACAAATAACATCTACTTGCTATTTAATGTGCACCTTTCACAGCGGTTTTCTAAATATCCAATGTTCATGTTGCCATCTTTCAGACATTTACTTGAAGCTGTAAACCTGCAAGTCTTGTGCCAACATTTTCTTTATGTCAATGCAGTAGAGAAGAAACAAAAAAACTATGAAAGTTTATGTAACTCCTTAGATTAAAATGTGTAGACAAATGCACTTATGCACTTAATATAATTCTCAATATTTTCAAGGGAAATGTACATAACCAAGTTCATAATAGTACTGTGGTATTTTTTTAATTGAGCGGGAATGTTATGCTGTTTATTCCCCCTCCTTATGTTTGCTTTCGAAATATCTGGATGATCAGAGGCACATAGAATTTTGCTGCTCGGTTTTCATCATTTCCCAAACACTTTCAAGTTGCGCCTTCAGTCCACAGCTAATGAGGACTGATAAGAAGTAACCATCAAAACATAAACAAAATGCCAATATTTCTTTTTGATTTTCAAATATACTGAAAATCTCCATGTCTGTGGTAGTGTCCCCAAGCATTATCATAACGAAGTCCCTCTAACGAAAAGATCAGAATTAACAAACTGAAACTGGGGCAAAGGATTTCCCGGGGGATGCAAATATTAAGTCTCAAAAAGTAGAAACTTCACAAGTATATTGCTAAAAACTTGCATAAAATGGGAGGGTAATGTTTGAAATAACTTGAAACAATGCTCAAACAAACTGTTTCTCCTCCCCACTATGACAGAAAATAACTATTCATTCCAAATCAACACAAAACTAGTCAGAAAGAATATTGTATTCTACAACACAATAATACAATACAACAATAACTACTCGATTGGGGTATTCTGTTGCAAAATGTCTCCATTTTTGTTTGTTTTGTCGTGGTGAGTCTCAGTATGTTACATATGTTACAGTATGGTCAAATTGGCAGTGCAGATTTTGGTTTGTGTGCATGTTAACAATAATTAAAAAGGTCTATGTTTTGAACAAGTGATGATAAGATAAATAACAACCAATTTTCAAATATTTCTGGTGAGTAATCCTCTTTTAATGCTATTAATAATTTTATGTTTTGTTTTATTCAAACTTCTGTAAATCATTGAGATGGCGTGATGTGATCTCTGCTGATGTATTATACTCATAATACATTCCACTCTTCTAATATTTCGCTATGAGAGTTGGCCTTGGACATTAGTATCCAAAGTTTATGGACAAGAATTGAATACAAGTTAAAATTAGTCTCTGAATGGATATTTTCTCAATTACTTAGAGATTCCAAGATAAGACTATTCTCCCTCTGAATACAGAAATTAATTTTGTTCTCCTGACACTGATCATTAAATGCTATGATTGGGAATCTGAGGCAATATTTTGAGTTGGATCAAAATTTTGGCTAGGTTTTCAGCCAATAGTTTTTCAGACTGAAATATTAACGACATTTTTCAAACCTTGCGACGGACTGGCAACCTGTCCAGGGTGAACCCCGTCTCTCGCCAGAAGTTAACTGGAGATAGGCACCAGCACCTCCTGACCCCACAAGGGTGTAAGAAAATAGATGGCTGGGGTTGATGGATTTTTCAATCCTCCCTCATTTAAGTCAATTCTTTTATCAGAAAATGTGAAATTGTTCATTTCAAGAAGTTCATTTCAAGAAGTTTAACAGCATCTCATTGCTGTCTTAGCAGCAGTGAGATACTGCTAAGGCCAAACTTTGGATATGACTTTTGTTGAACTTTATTGTGCCATGTATATTTATATAACACAACTGATGAGTAAAGTCACAAATTTTCCAAGAGTATTTTCGTGGCTTAGGCAGATCTAAAGTGTTTTTTTTAACCTAACATAGATGCAGTTCAGGTTATAGGGCGTGCCAAGCTGACCTCCAACTGCATGATACAGCCCTCGCGCTCATTTGTACTCAGAACATTCATGATCTCATCACAAGTGCACACATTTTAATTTCACCTGTGCTGATACACATAAATCTGTGAACTTTTAATTGTATGATGTTAGCTCTTTGGGAAGTCTGAGCAGTTCCTTACTGTGTGTTTGCTTTGCTTCACCTTATTATAGCGTGAGTTCAATAGCACTTAAAGATATTTAAGTATAACTAAACTAAGTTTCAGTGTAAACGTTGCCATGATATTGGGTGACATATATACCATATAATGTGTGACATTCACTATTATAACAAAACTAACAGAAAGTTTTAGCCTGGTAGAATTTAGTTTAAAATATAAACAAAATAAAAAGTGGTTGAAATATGATAGGATATTTCTACACATAATATATGCACAAACATGTAAAAATATAATCTAAAACAGAGTAAAGACCATTGATACAACTTACCATTTATGTGCCAGATATATATCTATATATATATATATATCTACATATCTATATGCATATATATAGATATATAGATATATATATAGATATATATATATATCTATATCTATATATATATATATATAGATATATATATATATATATATATATATATATATATATATATATATATATATATATCTATATATATATATATAGATATAGATATAGATATAGATATATATATGAACTCATAAAATTTTGACAGAGCCACACACACTACTAATATTACTGTCTAGAAGAGATCTTGTTTTTTGCGGGCTGACTGACAAATGTTAAATCATAATTTCGCAGATTAACATTTGACATAGGGTCAGGTGGTTTGGTTAGCATTTGCCTAATCTCAGCAAAATAATCCCTTGAAACATTTTTTTTTCTCTTAACTCAAGTCACATTTATCTATTAATATTTTGTGTTTGATTATGTGAAGCTTCTATTTATGGCAAAGAAAGCAAAGACAGAAAAAAAATCAATTTTTTTTTGACAAATTCTGAACGACATGTGTGACATTACAGGTATAACGGTATAACATTCTCAAAAAATCTGCAATGTGGCAAAGAAGTCTCCAAAGAAGACTGGACTCAGGTTCCTCTACAGTGATGTAAAAGATTGTTTGCCAGTTACTGCAGAGTGTTAATGTCAGTTGCGTCTTTTTCTCATGGAGCCAGGTTGGTTTGGAGTATGTTTGTTCCCTTACTAATTGAAATCATCTTTTGAAAGAATCTTTTTGTCTGTAGTCTGGTTATCTTTGAAACTGAAGTTTGTTTGATAATCTGAAATATTTGTGTGACACAAAGTCTGATGCAGAGGAAATGTGTAAGGGTGATAAGTATGAGAGTGAGTTTATGCCACAATTTAAGGAACCTTTAACAGTATAACACTGGATTTCCAATTATTGCCTGTGTGTTTGATACCAGACCGTTGGCAGAGCTGACTCATTCTCTGCTGTTGCCAGAGTGGCAGGCAGCAAGACGTTGAAAGACAGACTCAGCCTGACATATGCTGGCTTAAAGGAGACCAGCACTCTTGCACTGAGCCCCAAACTGCTGGTGCTGTATGCTGTGTGTAGCTTCAGTAAGAATGGTAAGGCGCTGCACTGGGTAATTTTCTGCCTGACTTTGACTAAACAAAGCAGCTTATGTAAGATTTTGAGTCCTTGGTGAGATCAAGCAAATACCCTCCAAGGCCCTTCAGAGCTTGTGTTGATAAATGTGTTGCTGAATAGCAGCCCACACTGTAATTCTTTAAGCATCAGCACTACATGCATTGGCCTTTGTCAGTTTCTCCCAGGCAGACTTTGTTGAAGGCTGTCAATGAAGTGACTGTGAACTATCTTGATTATGCAAAACGAGCAGAACTAAGTGGAAGTCTTGCATATCCATTAGGTTGGTTCAGTTTAAAATATGGCTTCCTGCTCCTCCAAGTAGCACTAATTTCAACAAGACCATTCGTCTAGTAATGTCCATGAACGAATAGCACTAAGTAGCAATGCAAGTTCAGTGCCAGAACTCACAAGGAAGTAAAAAGGGTTTAAACAGAGTTGAGCAATAGAAGTAAGCCTGCTTCACCACATCCGTAAAAGAAATATGCACAATCATGTTAAGAAATTCAAACACCCTATAAAATATTACATTCTTCTTGAAAAATGTTGAAATATCAATGTATAATTTTGCTTTAATATACCTCCTGACATGGAAAAAGTGGGCCATTCACAAGCAAATATTAAAAAATAACCTTATAATACTCATTAAACAAACATTATCAAAAAATACTGTATGTATGTTCTGATGTCACCAAATTTGGCTAAAATAACTTCAGTGAAATGCTTCTTGTCACATTTCTTAGTTATTAAGCAGTCCTCTATGGATTTACCGTAATGTTTTGGGTCGATGTCATGTTACATGGTACAATTCTGCTTTATTTTTTTCATATATGAACTCACAATTTCTTCAGGCATCCTCTGACACACAGGGAAATTTATGGTGGATTCTATAGAAGTGAGCTGGCCAGATCCTGATGCCATCTCCATACTGCATAGTTAGTGTATGGTCCTTTCCTGGACATTAATATTAAGTTTTATGCTCAGTTAGCCAAAGAACATTAATTCAGAAGTCATATATGTTCTCTTTGGCAACACTTTGTCTTAAAAAGCAAAGGTTTCCATTTTGCACAACTCCTATGAAAGGAGAAGTTGCACAATCTCTTTGTTGTTGTTCAGGCATGCACGTTGATATTAACTGTAACACCCTGCTGTAGGTCTGGTGATGATAAATTCAGGGGAGTTAGAAATTTCTCTTACCATCTTGTGTTCTGCTTACCTGGGCATGATGGAAATTGTTTTGAAAGTTTTCAGCTTACACATTATATTCTGACAGTGGAACTGCTGGTTTCAAATTATTTTGAAACCTCTGGAAATCCTTCACCAGACCCATAAGCTGCCACAATCTTCTTTCTGCAGATCTTAGACAAGTCCAGTAGTCAGCAGCACATCAAATTAAAATCTTACCTTTAAAAGGAGCAAATTTTGTTCAAAATCCAGAGCAGCAGTTTTCTAATCAAGTATTATATGTGAAATTTCATCCACTGAAAACTGGAGTAAGCATTGAGGTGTTCAACTTTTTATCTTACTTATGTTTTACAGAATTTTTTTTTTAGCTTTATTTGCTTCTTTAAACAACTTGAGAGATCCTTTACTGGCTATTGATATCAAATATCCTTATGTCCAAAGATAGTAGATAACACACATGCTTTCAGAGGGTACCCTGATTTCTCTACATGACTGTATATACCTTTACAAAAAAATCATCTTTGGAACTCTAAGTCTTTTTACAACCCATGCATAAAAATTACTGCAGCAGCAGGGTCAAGTTTGTCTGCAAGAGTGAATCATTTTTCTTACATAAAACATGTTTTTCTTCACCCTTTTCATTAGTAACAGATTCTTTCATGAGGAGTTTCAAGGCCACCGCCTACAAACAAGCTCTCCACTCCTTGCAGCTCATTTTGAAGGGTTTTCTATGCTGGATCTTCTTGGATGACATAGATTCAGATCTTCATAATGTGTGCCCTGGACGATCCTTTGATTAAGAATGCAGCTGCAGGTTTTGCTTGCTTTTTTTTAATTATGTATTTTATTCTGCTCAAACCTTACAAAAATGACAAGGACTAAAAAAATGCCAAGCTATTAACTTCAAGTGCCATCATGTTGACTTATTCGGCATAATGTAAAGTCAATTCTTGCATCACTTTTAATAGGTTTTTAATAAATCGAAGAGAGGAATAGCTTCCTCATTTAATATTTAAAGTGTATGCCTGTATTTTAGCATTCTGTGGCCTCACATCTAAGGGGACTGTCTATGTTTTAACTCTAGAACCTATAACATAAAATTCTTCAAGAGGACTTTTTTGTAACTACGCTGCTGAAAGAGCATCACTGAGACTAATAAAACACTTCCTTTAACTTGGAATGAGAGATAACTCTATAATTACTAGATAAAGTAAAAAAGGTAGTTGTTTAGCTAAAACTATTTTCATCTCTTGTATATCATATATGTTGTAAGAATGAATATAATGCCAAATATTCATTATTTGTAAAGAATATATATCTATATATTATATATAGATATTAATATATATATATTCATAATATATGCTTCATTTGAACACAACAATTTTTTGCTTTGTTCATATTTTCTGTTTTGCTTATTTTATAACTTGATATGATGGCATGCAAAAGACATATTTTGAATGTATTTATTTATTTCATTCAGAATTACAGCACTGTCCCATTGATGTTTTCTGATTATTTAGATGCAGTTCATGTGTGCATTTCTCAGTGTGGGTGACATCTGTGCAACAAATTGCATTTTTAGCTCTTTACTTTGTATGATTTCAGTTAAACATATGCATCCTCCTTTCTTCTCTCCAAACTGAGCAACTTGAAGATTTTCCCCTCTTTCCAGTTTGGTCGTTGCTTAAGGGTCATCCATTGTAAATAATGCAATTAAATTTTTGTAGAAAAGATTTGGAAAATTTCTTCTGAGTTTTGTCTGTTTATTTCATTATTCACTTCTGTTTGTATAAGTGTATATCATTAATGTTAGTGATAGGGACTAATGTAAGATGTTTTTCCGCTACTTTCGTAAACAGCACTTTACATAAATACACATAAAATGTTCCACATTTCTTGTATATATATATATATATATATATATATATATATATATATATATATATATATATATATATATATATATATATATATAATATATATATATATATATATATATATATATATATATATATATATATATATATTATATATATATATATATATATATATATATATATATATATATATATATATATATATATATATTATCACATACATAAATATTTATCGACTTGTTAATTGTGAAAAATGAAGTGAGGAGTGAAACTTATTTTCCATGTCCGCAAATCATAAATGAGGGCAGTATGCCGCCCCCTGTTGGACAACAGCAGCCTGGCAGATAGAAAATACTCGGATGCAGGTAAAGCACCATGAAATATTTACAAATCGGCATATTCTGTATCTTAACGCCAACTCCACAAATATTCACATCTTCGAGTATTTAATTTGCCTTTCCTTATGAAACAGATCGATGTCAGTAGCAATGACGTATTTCGGAGGCGTGATTTCCGGTTTGGGTGTCACGTGAAAAAATTTGTGTCTTATGATACGAGACTTCCTGATGTAGTCGGAAGATACAAAGACACCGTGTTGCAAACACATCACGGTGAGTGAAACTTATATTTCCTAATTATCGGTCAGATTGTCCTGGCCGCGCGGTTGCTTGCTTATTCGTGTCATTATGGGTAAAAGTTTAGTCTGACTCACCATGTCAGTTAGCAGAGATAACATTTTGTTTTCAAATTTAGCTGGTAACTTCACGCAAGAAGCGATTTTATCATTGCGTTTCAGATAATTAAATATAAAAAACCGCTGTGTTGAAGCGTTTTGAAGCATTGCATTGTTAGAATCATAGGGAGGAATTAAAACGGTAACATAAACAGGAGCAGAAAGTATGTGCCAGGTTTTTAACGATGTAGGTACCCATTCTGATTGACTAAGGGACTATTTTACTCAATTAATTTAATCTTAACTACCTTTAATCCGTTCAAGCCAGACCTTCATAATACACTAAAAGCAGATTCTGTATAAAGCAGTTTGTGATGTGTAGGATTTGTATTCAATTCGTGAGAATGCATACAAATTTTTGCAATTCCAGCTTTGGGGGAAAGGGGGAATAGGGGATGAAAGCCTAAACTTGTAACCGTCATAATGATCTTATTCACCAATACATTTTAAGATCTGTCACTCCACCAGCAATCAAAACACAAAATTTTTTTCTTAGCCATTCTTTTGCTAGATCCTTGTACATTTTATTCATATCATCACCTTTATGACTCATTCACTGCTTTCGATTAAAGCACACAAGTGGCTCATTGCTAACAAACTCCATATCCATGCAAGCATAAGATTCTTTGTGGTTTGCTGTTCATGCATCACACATTAAAGCTCTCCCACTGACTCTCTTTATAGATCCCGTTATTTTGTTTTTATTTTGTTGTAGATTGTGGGGATTGCTGCATCACCAAAATGTCTGAGACGAGATGTTATGTGCAAGGACTTCACTATAGTGTGAAAGCCCTGGTTCTCAGTATGGTGGCACATAAAAACCTTCTGATGGACCATGAATTGTGGTTTCTCATGTTTGTCAAGTTTTAAACTATTCAGTCTTGGTCTTGAATCTTGGTCTGATTTAAGTCATCAGTTATTATTATCAGAATTGTAGTTTGACATTTAGAGTAATATGTGTTCATGTTTTGAAATAGTCATGGATTCAAGTGCTAATTTGATGTCTCATAAGCTTTCACTCTATTACATCTCAGTGGATGACATGACTACCTACTTTAGCAGTTTTGTTTGTTTTACTGTTTTGCAGGTACCATACAGATGTATGTAGTTGCCGATTGAAGCTCCCACCTGCAGGTGATCTTCTCCATGTAATCAACTTCCTCCCACCATCACCATGTCCACTGAACAGCAGACCACTTCTCTGCCCCAACCCAGCCCAGAGTGCTTTGCCTGGGACTATCGCCTTCAACTCATCAGCCTTGGCTTTGGGTTCTACACGGCTGTATTTCTCCTCTCCCATCTCCTGTCACTAGCTCTGTGCTACACTTACAATGCTCTCCCAGCCAAAGAGAAGGTCTTCTGGAACCTTGCAGCCACTCGGGCAGCGTTTGGCATTCAGAGCTCTGTGGCAGGACTCCGGGCTCTGACTGAGGAGTCCGCGTTAAGCAAAGACAAAGTGATTGGCCAGGAAGACTGGTCATGGTTTCATGTCCTCACAGCTACCGGCTTTTTTGTGTTTGAGAATGTGGCACTACATTCATCTAGTGTTGTGTTCCGGTCATTCGACTTGCCCTTGGCCACACACCATTTCTTCGCCCTGTCAGGATTTGCAGGTGCTGTGGTGTTTGATTCTCAAGGGCACTTCCTGGCAATGGTTACTCTCCTCCTGGAGATGAGTACACCTTTTACCTGCATCTCCTGGATGTTGCTGAAGGTAAAAGCTTCATTGTTTTCTCTGTAGTAAGTCAAAGTACACATCACAAAAGTTTTCTTTACTTAAGCCAAATTAACTTATTGTTTACGCAGGGATGAGTATGAGATTCTCATGGTTCAACAACATTGAACTACAATATTTTAAATAGTGAAATTCTTGTATTATTCAAGAATCTAAACCTTGCAACCAACAGTGTAATTATATATATATGAAATATATATGAATATATATGAAACTACAAACTAGAGAATGAAATAAAAAGTAATGAATGATTCTGTAGGTATGTTTGTGTTATTAAAAACTCCAACTCGCATTAGATAGCAGTTGGGGCACAAATGTCAGTAGTTATAGACTCGGTAATGGCAATATGTCTCATAAAACACAATGTCATATTTACACGCCAAAATTTAAAATGAGTATTGCAGCCATATGAATTTATTTCAAACTGAAAAGGAAAATATTTTGTTATTGGTAAATTTTCATGCAAAGACTTACCCGAAAGTTTGTTTAGGATATTTAACCGTTTGTATACACAGGTATAATACCTTGATATTAGCTGAGTAGCTTCCATCCGGCTGATGCAGTGGTTTGCCAAATACAGTTTTAAAGCCAGCTGCCCGCCAGTACACAGAAACATTAGGGGGAAGGGCTGTGCTGTTTTCCTATTGCAGCTGGAAAAAGCTCAAGTTAGCTTGACACTTTCTCTTGCATCTCTTTAAACATTTTTGAAGAGTAAATATCTCATTTACTCTTTAAGACCTCAGTCTCGAAAACAGTGTCTGACTCAAGCCAGCTATATTTTAAATGTTTTTTTTTTTCATGTCACATGGTTGGTTGCTGTTCCCTTGTCACCTAATTTTAAAACTTCTGTTCTGTCACTACGTTTCAGTTCTCATAGGGCTTCAGGGACATGTGATTCTAAACAAATAAAATTCAGGGTTGTCAAAAAAGGAAGTTCTGTACTTGGTGGCGTTGCCTAAACCTTTCTGTTCCTTTTCATAGAATGTTTAAATGCTATAATATTCATGTATAAATGGCTGTTACTTTTCTCCTCATGTGAAAGGCTGGCTGGGCTCGCACTATGTTCTGGAGAGCCAACCAGTGGGTGATGATCCACATGTTCCACTGCCGAATGGTGCTCACTTATTACATGTGGTGGGTGACTCTGACCCACTGGGAGGGGATAAACACCCACGTCGCGCTGTTCCAAAGGCTGATCTTCTTCTCTGGACTCGCACTGCTCACATTTATCATCAACCCCATCTGGACGCACAAGAAGACCATGCAGCTGCTAAATCCTGTGGACTGGAACTTTGGGAACAAGCTGGCACCGGTTAATGACATTGCAGAGAATCAGTCTGGGGTTTCTAGAAAACCCCATAAAAGCTGAAAAGCTTTTACAAGATCCCAATCTGTTGAACTTACATTGCTTTTGTATTCCACTTTTGATAATTTATGCTTGAGATTAACACTTTTAAGAGCATGAAAAGCAATTTGATTATATATGGTCACATGATCCAATCATGCTGCGTATCGCAACAGTCTTCCATCATGTTGTTTTCTGTAGATTTGTTTCAATTTACTATTTTTGGGGGTAGAAAAGAGTGTATTTTTAAATCAGTTTTGAAAAAGATATCTAATACTCTCTGGAGAAAAAATACAAAGAAGCTGTTTCCTCGAGCTCTGACCTATCACACACAGCAGAGTCTTTGTTTAATTTGAGGGAACTGACTTATTTGTTGGATCCATTAAAACCTAAATGGACAAATTAGTTTGCAGTAGTCTCGGAGTGCAAGTCTTCCCACTTCAGTGCAGCAGAGATTTGTCAGGGCACACAAAAAGCTTTTCTTCTTTATCAATGGAAGAAAGCACTGGAATTGTTGCCTTCACAAAGGGCTTACTGTCTGAAATGGAGATGCAGTGTGACAAAAGTGAAACAACAATGACAACAGAACAAGCAAGTTATATTGAAACCAAAATGTATTTTTAAAATATTAAGAAATACACTTTAAGCTGCAAAAGTCGGGTATATTCAAAACCAACATTACTGGATATTTGCTTAGACTTGTTGCATTTTATTAGGTGTTCGCATAATGTTACTTCTGGCAAGGGGATTTTTTTTTCATGTACGCCACAAACATTTGCTATATGTTAATGTTTAATTTGCAATATTAAGTTGTTGTTTTTTTGTTTGTTTGTTTTCAGTTGTACATGTGATAATGTCATTCCCTCATCAAAAATATACCTGGAGTGTTGCTTTGATTCTTCACTCATGTTTGTGAAATCCTTTAATTCCCCATGGCAACCATTTGGGTATAAAGAAATGTTTTGTCTCACCAAGTGCTGCCTTTTCCTCACAGCTTCTCCTGAAGCTTTTGCCTCACAGAACTTCTCTCTCCTGCAACTTCCCCACTCAATTCCTTCTGCCGAGCTCTGTGTATGAAACACTTGGCAGTGCAATGCTCCAAAGAATGATGTTTTCACTGCTCGCTGAAGTCAGAGTGTCGGAAAGAGCATAACTTCTTAAAGAGATAGAAGCCCAATTTCAAGGCATTAAGTTGTAATGACTTAATTACTTTTAAGTCATGTATGATGCATATTGATGACAAATGACAGTAACAGTTATTTGATTGTGTTATAAAATGTCAATATGTCTCTGGGAAATACATAATACTGCCCCTTTACATGCCAAAATCATGGGCACTATAGATGATATATAATTGCCCATGATTTGAATTATATCAGTGTACATTGGAATAAGACATTGATTATTCTGTTCTGGGTTGAATATTATTTGATTCATGTCAAAGCATAATATTTATTTGGTCTAGATAGACAGGATTGTGTTTTGTGTGGCTATGAATATGACTTTCAAAATAAAAAAAGTTTTCTAATACAAAGCATATTTATTCTTTTCTTTTTACTTGAGTGAAGGTTGGTTTTAAGTAATCCAAACATTTGAGGCTTGACTTCTGCTTCCTCCTCCCCCATGCTGCTGCATACCCGGGCAAGTCCTTTGACTCCAAGTTACCTACCGATCTGCATATCCGATTTTAATGTATCCATTTGTGAGTGCTGTTGGATCACAACACTAGATGGCACTGTTGGAGTTACTTTACTCTGCTACTCATTTTCCAAACATTCCCTTTAACAGTCTTATGTGTGTGAATATATCAACATTTTCAATGAAAAGAAATGTGTTAGAATTCAAAAAAGTGAATCTGGTTCAGTTTATGAATGTACTAAATTGACTACTTAGAAAACTAAGAAATCTATTTCTTAGACCATTAAAAAAGACTTTTAATATGAAATGTTGACCTACTGAAAGGTATGTCCACATACTGTACACAGACACTCAACACTTTACCGATGCTCCTTGTGCTTGAACTACTACAGCAACGCAGCATGACATGATGGCAACCTGTGGGTCAGCTGAGGTGTTTTGGAAACCCATTTTGCCCTTCATCTCATCTTACTTTAATAGGCAGTGGCACTTTCAGCAGTTTTACATCCTGATGGAAAATCAAATCATCATTTCCATGAAATTTGATCATCAGAAATAAATACAATTTTCGATTAATCCATTCAGATTAACCTTCATGTTTATTTTGTAAAATACATATTTTTTTGTTTTTGTTCTGTCTCTGGGGTCCACTTCTTGATGTGGGTCAAACTGTTTTTTGTGGTGCTGAAAAAATTCAAACTGAAAAACAAAATGTTACTGAATAATTTATAAATGTCTGAACAAACAAACTGAAGACAAGACTGACTTACAACCTATAGGAACTTATTTACTTATTGCTAAATTTCACATTTAATGCATTATATGCATGAAGCACTCAAAACAATAGGACTCTTTCGTTTCTCAAAAGTAGGCCTATCGAAGGCCTATCAAAAGCTATGTGATTATCCTTTATGCATATCTAAAATAAAAACAAACTCAAACACAAAAAGTATGCAAGTTGCTCAGGACGCTTCATCCTTTTCGTCTGAGCTGAAGTCAAGTGGGAAGTTTCATGTCCACTGATTCCTCCTACAGGAAAAAGCCTTGGAATGTTGATTGACGTCACGTCAAGCCAATCACAGCTCGTCACACATCAGCCGTCCACCAATCGGCTGTTGACTGGAGGTAAAGAGGTTTCATGGATAGAATAATCTGCTAACATCGGGAAGAGCCGAAAAGAGAATTGAAAAGTGGACGTGTTGATGCGAGACAAATTGTTTTACAGCCAGAAACGTGTTCAGTTTAAAACGTCTCTGGAATATCGCGGAGCTATACGGGAATTGAATTATGGGAATGCAATAAAATGGTGAGTTGTGGATGCATTTTTCTAACTTTATGAGAAAGTTCAAGAACTCTTTTGTCGTACTTGCTGTTAAGTATATGTTACATTCGGCTGAAAATGGCATACAGATTGATATTTTGCGTGGAATACTAACATTTTTTTTCCTATTATAAACAGAACTGTGAAATGAAGGTAACGTGGCGTCTTAGTTAACGTGGTGATGTTGCCAACTCTCAGCCGCCAATATAGCAGGCATTATAACTTAAACTCTCTTTACCATACTTATTCTTTAACAAGCAGCCTTAGGAATGTATGTTTTTCTCAGAACATCAGTTGCTTTTGGTATTTGTTTAACATAGAACAGATGCACGTTAACTGCCGCTTTGATTTGCTACAAATCACTTGTCACTTGTTTGTCAGTGTTAATAATGTTATGCAGAAACTAGCTCTCAAAGTGTTCAGTTAGTAGCTTGTCCTGTTTCAAACTGCAGAATGAGGTCAGTTTTTATTCCTAATAATATAATAGTAAATATATTAACAAATCAAATGGACCTTAAACTAGCTTAAAGCACGCAGTTTTCCTGAGATGCAGCTCAGCTACAAATTCAAGTAGTCATGCATGGCATTCCTCAGTCAGGGAGCACTGCACAGATTTGGTCAACTGGAAGTTCACTCTACACAAGTTGTGAAACCGTGACTTAAGTCAACTTTTTCCCTTAGTCAACTTTTCAGCCTTTGCAAGCTGTCAGAAGATGGTTTAGATATAAATATATATTTGGTTTTGATATGTAATATGTAGTGTCTTGCATGTAAAGCTTATTCTGCCAGGACAATGCTGACTTGGTAGTTGGTGGGGGTCACACTCCCATGCTAGTATACAAAACTCCATGTGGGTGATTTGTTTAACAAATGGGCAGGGCAACCCGGCTGCAATGTTTTCTTTAATGACACCTGAAGAAAGCTGCTGGCAGTGCAGTCTGAAAGCTAAATTTAATGATCTTGCATGGAAGTGCTTCTTCTGTTGCATAGATAAATCACATTGAATTAGAATATCATCAGAATGTTAATTTGTTGCAATTACTAAATTAAAAAAAGTCAGTCCAGAACTTGATAATGGTCCATTAAATGGTTCATTATACACAGTGATGTATTTGAAATGCTTTCTGTTCATTTGGAGGACTTTGGGTTGTAGTGGATGAAAACTATATACTGCCGCATGATGAAAGAAGCCTAAGTTTCTACATTAGGAACCTTTCCACTCATTCGCCTTGTTAGGTCTGGTCTCTGTCATCTTTCTCTTGACAAAGCTGCATAGATTCTCAATGGGCTTTGGATGAGTTAAATTGGCAAGCCAGTCCAGTAGCATTTAATAATGGCGAATAAATCAGTGGGTCTTTTAGCAGAGTCTACATGTATCAAGCTGTGTTCAAAAATTAAATCAGAATCTCCATGAAGTTGGTCAGCAGAACAAAGCATGACATGCTCCAAAATTTGATGGTAGAGGAAATCACTGACTTTGGACTTGATAAAGCACAATGGACCAGCACCAGCAAATTACTATTATCTGTGGAAACTACACTCTGAAGTTAAAACAGAGTATAGTTAACAGACTGTGTCTGTAAACAAAAAGTATAGCCTTTTTTAGCTTAGATAAGATGTTTCTAATGTTATTTTTGGTAATTTAGAGCTAGATAGCTTTCGTCTGTATTCTGAACGAGTACATGTGTGTGTTGTCTTTCCAAGAAGTGACTTCAACCACCTCCCAGTCCTTGTGAATCTAACCCAAACAGCTGAATGAACTATAGTCCTTAATTCTCTCAACAATGCAGTCATCTCTGTTGCTTGTGTACCTTTTTGTGTAGAATATTTTCCTTTTACCCAACTTTCCATCAATAGATTGGGTTACTGCTTTAACCCAATATTTTAGTCAGCTTCTTAATGATTGTGCAGGAGGAGACACTATGTTCTTTGTGTTTAAAATAAATAAATAATAATAATAATGTAAATCTCCAAATTTCTGTGAAACTGAATTTTGGATCTTCATTAGCTGTAAGCCACAATTGTTATTATAGTTTATAAAGATAGATGCTTTTTCTTGGAAAAATAGCTTTGGTAAATGTTCAAATTCTTCACTGTTATGAGGCAACAACTCTACTTGGCAGTAACAACTCACTCAAAAAGCATTTTGTTTTCCATGACAAAAGCTGGAGGATGCTAGGGTTCTCATCAGTTCGGAGGCATGCCATTCATTTTTAGAAAGTCCACCATGTAGTAGCTGTCCAACTCATCATCCAGTCAGAGCTCCACTTAGATAAAACTGGGATTAGAAAAATATTTAGTCAGCAGCTGGGAAAGAGAACCCCTGGGTCCTCTGCAGGTGCATGTGAGAAATCACAAAGTACATGCTTGTTTAACAGCTGGGAACATGCTTATATTTAGAATCAGAATGAACCCAGAAATATGGCAGACACTGTAAATCACAGCCTGCCATACCCTTTTTTTTAGCTCCTTACATTTTCACCAATCCAGTCTTGGCTTTCCCCATTCTTCCAGAATTAGGATTTGGACTTCAGGTATGGTAATGTGTGGAATTCCTGTTTTCCCATTAAAATCTGTTCACCTCCAGCCAGGCAACAAAATCTCTTTGGATCTGCTCCACACACTCACTAGTGTTCTTCTGGTGACATGTTGGGCTCTAAATGCTTTCGTGTGGCTTGCTGGGTGGGTGGAGACCAGTTAGAAATGACAGCCAAGACTGTACAGTGTATGCTGGTTTTACAGCACAGCCCTTCTTTTCAGTTCCTCACAGTGTTTTCTCTTTTATTAAAGCAAGCTGTAACTAATTTAACAATGATATTCATCACACTGACTTTAAAACAGGAATTATGTGGCACAACTGTAATAATTTCATACGTTTAGTGATTATATAATATTGTAAAGTTATCATCTCTGGTAGATTAGTATAGACCATATTCAGTTCAGAAGCAGAGCTTCTGTGTTTGTCGGGCTGCTGAATGCAGACGAACTCTCACATGTTTGATTGATCTTGCATACTAAATCAAATAAGCTTCCCTCTGGGCCTCATTATTTAAAACTATGTCTCCATAATCTACTAGATATTTAGCTACCTTATGTATTTTTTCCAACTCCCCACCAGTCAAAATTCTTCAAAATGTCAGCTATCTTGTGCCTGCTTGTAAAATTTCCTCCACCCAATTTGAGGTCAGAAAGGGTGGTGCAGTCATGTGAGTTTTGGAAGCTGCATGACCCAGATGCTGGTGTGATTTGAGGTTAGCTGCAGATGGGACAATGTAGTCTTTGAAGAAACTGTCTTCTAAAAACTGTCAGCAGGTTTGAGAGATGCTTTTGAGCCCATTTTTGACCCCCCAAAAAACCAATCCAGCTCATACAAAATAATAACAGCCCATGCCCATGCTCCATCTCTACCTACATGTTTTCTGAGTCGAAGTGGGGATCAGTACTCATTACTGATCTATCCACGGGCCAATCCGTCTCGTCTGTAAAGGGACTTAGTTTAGATGCTTCAGCGTCTTGATCAGTGGTGGTTGTTTTCAACTTTCCTTACCTTGGCCATGTCTCTGACCTCTGAACATTTTGTAATTCTGGTAGTCCAGATTACAGTTCTGCAATATGATGGAACCAGAAGATAATTGGTTCCTGATTGCTTCACGCTTCATTCTTCTCAAATTCTTGGCAGCTAATTAAATTTTTTTTCTTAAGTTTCTTACAACACTGTTGACTTTACAACAAAACTTTGATAGTTTTATGTTCACAACCCAACATTTAGCCTTTTCAGGAGACCTTTAACTTTCCAAATGTCGGTTAAATACCTGTTTTGCCTAAAAAAAGAAGCTTCCAAAAATATACAGACCTTGATAGGGTGTTGGCCTGCTAAAAACCATAAGCTCTGTCATTAGAGACAGACACATCACCTGCTAAGCTTAAATCCATTAAGTATTCAAGTTTATCCAGCTTGGAGTTTATAAAAACGCTGATCTGGTCAAAATACTCACGTACCTAGTAATTGTACACACATTGTTCATTACTGTACTGTTTAAAGTCTTCCTTAGCCTGGGTTTTTCTTTATTGGCCATGGCATGATTACTGTAATCCCGGCAGGAAGGTAAACTGCCAAATAAAACGTTTACCCAAAGACAGCAGACACAGCGGACAACAAGCACCACCCTGTACTCTGGGCTTTTGTTGATGACTCTTAGCTCATATGAAGAATTCCACTTTTCAGTAAGTGGACTCTTAAGAACTCCGAGTCAGAGCAGAAACATAATCTCTTACGAAGTCAAGAGTGTTGGATGTTGAATTGCATCTCACATCAACATAATTAGTTATAAACAACCAGGAATCTTAATAAACTTCTAGTGCACCCCTCATTTAGCTGTGTGGGTTAAAGGAGGCATTAGTCCCTACTTTAAAATGTGATGTTTTCTCAATTTAATAAATGTATCAAAACTGAAAACTTCTACTTTAAAACATTGGTTTTAAAAGAGGAAATTCAGATATCAAGCATTGCAAGTTGGAATGCTTGATATCGCTTGCTAATGGAGTGGTTTGGGGATCTGGTTAATATGTCTCCCTGGTAAGGTGTTCCAGGCACATCCCACCAGGAGGAGACCCAATGGAAAACCCATGACATACAGGAGGAACTATGTTTCTGGACTGGCATGGGGACACCTTGGGATTCCCTAAGAGGAGCTCAATTGGTTTGGAAAAGGGATGTCTGGGCCTCTCTGCTTAGGCTGCTGCAATCCTTAGTGGTACATCATCAGTTCCTTTATATTTTTTATGCAACTAACTTGATAACAAACTTTATTTCCTGTATCACTGATGGGATCCGGAATACTACCTGTGGTTTTTGAGCCACAAAAAATTTTGTTGTTGCAAACATTGTCATATTTTTTTCTTTGGCTTTATCTCATGAACTATTGATGTGTAAATTTTCAGCTTCTACTGCATTAATAAAATTGGCACACAAAAAGCAATTTATCTTCAACATTAGGGATTATGTTTAAAAGTGTTGTTTACCTTCCGTTTGTTCTTTAACTTAGTAGAGATATTGGAACTTGGGCGAACAAATTGTGTGCATTTCGCCAGCAGGCTAGATGACTGTTTTCCTATCTGCATAACATAGCTCAGCTGCAGAGCTTGTAATGACATGCTCAGCTGAGCCTGTCATTAACCATGGTGAAAACTTTAGCTTTCTGCTCTTACGCTCACATTCAGTGTGTTACAATGCCTTTTTTATAAACACCCTGCTGGAGAGGAGAGTGATGAAGAAATAATCTTCACTTTGGTTTGTAACTCGTTCTTATATCCACGCGTCTTGTACAGTTGTTGTGCTATTGCCGCTGCAGTAGCTAGGAATGCTTTCTTTGAGTTGATCCTTCCCACAGGATGAGACGGACGGTAGTTTGGTGCTCAGGTCACGACATGACACATGCTTTGAAAGATGTAATTTACCAATAGGGCTTTGGGTTTCTTTGTCAATAAAAGAAGAAATAATTGAGAGGAGAACCAAAAAAAGGTCAGCATCGGAAGAAAATTTAGCACAATCCCAAAACGTTTACATAAAAAGTTTTTTTAATGCATTTTCTTTGTATATCCTTCCTTCCTTCCTTTCTTCCTTCACTTGCTGTCCTAAATCCCAGTGGATCTCAGGGGAAAGGTGATTCACTCTCTAAAGCTCCCAGCTGTTAGTTTTGACTCCAAACCCCTGTCATGTAGCTACCTGTTACAAACACGCATATCACTTTTCCTGTGTTCTAAAATAGATGGATCCCTCCCCAGACTGCACAGCATTGTTGCTCCTCCTGCTTGTCCTTGTGGACCCCTCTCTGTATTGCACAGGCCAAAATCACCTCAGGCGATGCACATTCGATCTACCTCTGCAAGAATTAGCATCATCATTAGTTGCACTGTTTTCAGCAGACACCGGCTCTGTGTTCATATCCTCAGCTCTGGCAGTGAGCCATGCAGAGAACAAAAAGGCTGAAGATTTCCAGTTATTCATAGACAAAACAATCTTTGAGTCTCAGAATGACTTGTCGTTCTTGTCCCACATACTCTTAAGTAGATTTATCTTAGAAATAGACTGACTGTGAACCTGTGTTGTGTCTTGTTTTATGGGAATTTTGTGGGGGTATAATATGGGCTATACAAACTACAACAACGGCTGCTTCATGCTATAATATATTATAATTTTGACATGTCTTTGTGGGTATATTAGGCATGTGGACAAATCAAGAAATGGCATAGCCTTTTTTCTGTTCCATCAGAAAGACATTAACAGAAACTATCCTGGAGATGCACATCGGCAGAGGAAGCTTTTCTTGCACAAGAGTGCTGTTGGCATTTACACCGGTCTAAATTTGTGGTTCAGATGAACTCATTGTGTGACTGTTTTTTTTGGTAAAGATTTTGGAGTCAAGTTTGTTTTAAAGTTGTCCTGGGGAGTTATGTTTTACAGTTCTGGTTATTATTTGTTGTATTTTATCATCTAAGCAATCATCCAAGAATTAATGAGTTTTTCCTGTGACAAATTCATTTCTCCTCAGCCACAAAGCTTGCATTCTGTAACATTTGACCTTTTTGTTTAGGAATGTCTGCTGACATAGTTAAAGACCAGCTTTCTGGTGTTTGTGGAGCTTGTCCAGGAGAAGAGAATCAACCATGGACCTGGATGAGTTTCCTCCCCCACCTCCTGAAAGTAAAGTCAACACACACGTACAACATCTACATGGGGCAGGTTGTGAATCATTACAGGGGAATGGCAGCAGCAAAGACCAGTTAGCTCAGTTGGTTATAGTGTGGTGCTAACAACGCCAAGGTCACTGTATGGGCCGAATGTTTTGAATACCATCTTGACAGGCAGATTAGCTCACGTTTACACGATGACTAAAAATGCTCTTACTTAGTGTGAGTAATTATCCTCCTTCTTTACCCTGTGCAGCTAAAAGAAAACAGATATGCTGTCACCTGCTTCCAGTTGGTGTTCTTAGTCTGAGACAGTCAATCATTGAAGAATTAATTATTCTCAGTACAAATTAAAATAAAAGTATGTCATAATTTCTAGCATTTTAATCTTATGATTTTATTGGTTTTTTTTTTTTTTCGTTTTGTTTTTTTTTTTTTTCTTTTTTTTTGTAACCAAATTTTCAGCTGGGACATAAATTGCTGATTAATTTGGACTAAAACTTTTAAATCGACTGATATTTGGTATCTAGTTAACACTCGTTCCAGTACAAATTAATTGAATCAAGTCTAATTGAGAGTTGATTTCCAGTTGAAATTAATGATACGAGGAAGTAGCAACAATTATTTATTTTTCAGGCTAAATCAATGTAGTTTTAAAAACTACACTAAGTTGTCTTGTTTTTAATTAATTGTGTTTGGACTGAGACAACATTGAACAAATCCACACATTTTTTTACATTTGTTGTTGAATTCTGATGAAAATTCTAAACCTTGACACCATTGCAAATGAAATATTGTGTTTCTTCAAGAGACATTACGGTGTTAGTCCTGTAGGATTATAGGCTAGCAGCTGTAGATCCTGGCATTGACAGTTATTTTTTGGAGGGTTGGTGAAGCTGGACAATATGAGTAAACAACAGATTTCTCTCTATCGCTGTGAAGTGTGTGGGCAGAAGTACGAAAGGCATAAGGAGGCTAAAATGTGCTGAATACCAGACAATGTGTCTCAGTCAGTACAAGGCTGAATACTGCTGCAGAAGCACACAAGCATAGATGCACACACACTCTCTCTCTCTCTCAGTCTCTTTTTCTCTCTTGCACACATACATTCTCTGGGGATGGAGACAGAAAAATGCTTCGTCTCCAGCTGGCCAGTCACTTGCTTTGTTGCCAGGGGAATGCAGGAACGGGTCGTAACCCGGTGACTCATTTCAACAGATCATTATATAGCACAGTGGATATAAGTACTGAGAACAGAATTCATGCTGCTGGTATGAATTGACAATGGAAACCTCTTCAAGGCATTTACATGCATGGTTCAGTTATTTCTGTTTAGCAAAGAGGGAAAAAAAAAATCTAAAAACGTCTCAAGTCATAATGCATGTTTGTGCTGTTTCTTGTATATACATAATACTACAAGATCAACATCCTGCATAACCTGAAATTAAGCTGCGTGCCATTCCATCCGTACAGTCACCCATCAATCATCTCTTTCACAAATAAGGGGCTTTTCTACCTCCAATACACAAAGCCTGAAGGATCTTGTGCTTTTTCAGGAAGGAAAGTACTGACTGTTCAAAATTACAACATGTTATGCAATGAATCTTTAATTTAGCTTAAAATAATTAATTGGTCATGTCTGTCTTAGTATCTGAAGAGACTGTTCCCTGATACACAGGATGAAAATCTGTTATTTAGCCAACCCCTTCAACTGCTTCATAAATTACTTGAAACAGATCAGATACAGAGGTGTACAGAGAAATACAAGATGCTGTAAAACACTAGATCATTTCATTGTCCTTGGCTGCTGTTTTGTCACTCAAATCCAAATATCATGTCCTGTCACAAAGGCAACTAAATGGAGAAGGTACCTGAAAGGTTTGATTTTTGTTTTTAAATGTAAATACTTTAAAACACTCTGCAATAAACCTTTTAAAGCCAAACAGTTTTTTTTCTTAGTCCTTCTAGAGGTCTGAATGTCCAGAAGGAAGTCAGGCACACTGTTGGAAGTTGGAGTATCAATATTGAGCCCATTGCCTCGTTTCAGCCTAGTGGAGAGTTATCTGTGCTTTATCACTGCAATCCACACAGCTCATTATTCACACATTTGGAAAACAACTGATAACATCTCTGTTTCCAGGTTTCCACCATGCCCCTTTTTTCTTTATTGTACCGTAGTAGGTAGATATGGGGTCACAATGCTGACCTGAAACATTAGTCACAGTATTTTCTCACATACACATGGAGAGGCAGAACAGCTACCTGTCAGAGCTTGAGGGAGTGGTGTTTGTGATTTAGAGCTTTCAGGACCTTCAAAGTTGTGGTGTTTTTTTTTTTTTTGACGCTTGAGGTTTATTTTTTGTTAAGATTCATTAGATAACTCCACTTGCAGATAGATGCAAGACACAACAGGTGGATCTATGAAAGCGTAAATAGTAATTCATTTTGTATAGAGAGCAACCTTTGTCTTTAAATATTTACAATCTCCATAGATTAGCTACCTATATAGGAAGTAACATTGCATAGTTAAAATGCCAAAATCCAGTCTAACATTCTCCCAACTGTGGAATTTAAGCACACCCATTCAGGCGACACGACACTGAACATGACACCACATGAACTGGGAATGCTCTGTTTACTTTGGGGACACAGTCAGGATATTGGCTATGGGGTTGATAAGACTGTAGCCTGAAGCTTAATAAAGTCAAGCTGGTCGAATGATGAATGTGCTTCCAGGAATCTGGTATCTGTCAGCAGCAAAGTGGAAGACAAAATTATCTGAAGTAACTAAGACAAAGAAATGGTATTTATAAACTCCATTCATCTTCTTCCTTGATATATTTTTTCTATCACAACACCAATTTCATGTTGATTTTATGAAAGGTGAGCAGATGAGTCTGGTTTGAAGACAAGCTTGTGCTTTCCTCATCCGTTCGCAGCCTGTGTAATGCTTTACTAACATCACACGTGCTTAGTATTGCATAAGAAATAATGTGAACACTCAGACTGCACAGCTCACTAAGGGGAGTAACCGCTTTCTTTTACTTCTGGCCCAAATGTGGAGTGGAAACTAGAATGATATTTGATGTTTCCTTCCTGTCTCCTGCCAAGCCAGTACTTTCTGAGAGCTGCAGTAACTGAATTTTGTTGTTTTAGCATATACTTGATATAATAAGAAACGCAGCTGATGCTTTACAAACTCAAAAGAAAACATTTTCAGTTTCCAATAAAATCCAGATAAGTTCAGGTTGGTCATACTGCATTAAGCGGCCATTTATACAGCTGGTGGTTACAGCTGTATAAATGGAATACTTTTGTATTAGAAATAGATTAAGATTCCAGAGCTTTTGGATATGTACTATTTGAAAATACCTTATTAAGATATTCACTTTTTATAACCTTCCAACAGAAATTCAGTATAAAAATCCTGAACTATTTCTTTAATCAAAGATCTGCATTGGACATAAGGCCACACAACCTAAAAATGAAGGGTTCTATGTATTTTTTGAAATTTTTTTTTACTTTCTCATGGTGGTGTCATATCAGTATTTAGTTTTTTGGATAAGTTTCAGAAATGCAGAGATTAATTGAAATAGATGACTGAAGAAATAGGCAGAACATTCCTTTATTTTCTCTCTCCATCATGTATGCTCTCCTACATACAGTGCTAGCAGACAGTGTACCATTTGATGATGAAGATGAAGGAGAACCTTTCGACTTTGACAGTGGCAATGACATCCCTGAGGTGCCTCCAGCACCTCTCAGCCTCCCCAGTGAGGATCCCAGCCAGACAGACTCTGTGACTGGTCATCCTGAGGGTTCTCACAGCATCTTGGGCCCTCCAGCACAGTTCTGCGACTCGGCACCAACATCACAAGACGCTGCTGTTTCCATAAGCAAACCCTCCTCCGCAGGCAGTGAAACAACAGAAACTGAAGAGACATCTGTTGCTGAGGGAACTAATGACAGAGAAGAGGATTTACCACCACTACCGTCTCCACCTCCTCCTGTTGGTTATGGCATACAGACAGATCCCAGAAGCACAGGTTTGTAACCCAGAGTGTTTACATTTCACTTTTCTTTATACTGGGAGTATCAACTTTGAGTTCAACCTTCTGTCTTTTGAGTGTCTGTCTTTACCATATTTGTACTCTGAAAACTGTTAGTTGTAAATGCCACTTTAAGTACAGTTTTCTTCTTCTTTTTTTTTCGGTTTTTTGGCAGTGATCTTAAATTCCCCAAATTCTTTTGGTATTCTCTGTTTACAGTCTCCAGCCCTACAGCTCTGGCTAAAGTTAGTACTTAAAGAAAGGCTGTCCATCTCTTTCATGGAATGTCATTAAAAATCATTACAGCCTATTTTCATAAATGCATGCAGAAATATCTTCACTGTGCTATGTTCTAGGTTGTTTATGTGAAGGGATCTAATCACACCCATATAATTTGTTTTTTGATGTTTTTATTTTATTTTTTGTAAGCAGAAAATCATCATAGCTAGAACAGCTTGAAAATACCAATCTCGGTGTAATCTATTTAATTTTCACTGAGTAGCTTGATTTAACCTTTAAAAATATGATAATTTATTGCATAAAACTTTTTATTCTATTGTTGAATCTTCATTGCAACTCATGACGGATAAATTCCATTTCTAAGGTTTCTTTGCCACCAAACTAATGTTGAACTTAATAATCAAAATCAGGCAGGACATGGATTGCCACTGCAGTCTTGGAGCTAATCACAGAGTGCTGCCAGTAGTGTGATGGAGCATGAAAGTTTGTGGACCGTCTTCGAGATGCTCAACAGTTCTGTCCTGAGATGTGATTGCTTCATGATCATGTTATCAGCAAATGTCTTTTTTGTCCCCCCACAGAACAAGGGTTAAGCTGATTATTGAGGTGAACAAACATTTTGCCTGTGAAATCTAGAAGGCTGTGTGGAGAAATTGCATGCTATGACATGGTGCCACGAAGTCATCATCATAAGAAAATAGCAGAGGAAAACCTCTGTTGAAAACCAAAGGCAAAATATTGTGTTCAGAAACATATTGCATATCAGTTTAAGCGTAGTGAAATTTAGTAACCTTATATTTTGATGCGTCTTCCTGTGTCTCTGTCCCATTGGGCGTCATGGTGCCGCTTTGATTGAATGGTAAAGCTGTATTTCTTGTCTTTCTGCAGACACTGAAGTGGAGAGTTCATCTCTGAATGACCCACATGCTCCACAGGGTTTGCCCAGGACTTCCTCTCACAGTAAAGTCAACCCTTACTCTGTGATTGATATCACTCCCATTGAGCTGCAGCAAGAGCAGCAACACGGACCCTCCTCTTCCACTTCCTCACCAAAGGAGTCGAAAGTACGAGAGGAAGAAAGCCAGGATATCCACACCAGCTCATCCAGCATTACTTCAGGATACTCTGTGCCTGTGCCATGTGGCTATGCGACCCCTTCTGGTGTACCGCTCATCACACCTGCCTACACCACACCCGTCATCATTCGACATCTCTCCGTGGATGAAGATGGTAAAGTATAGATTCTAACTAGGGCATGTTTCAAACTGCTTCACTCGATAAGAAAATGTTATGCTATTCTGGAGATATCCACAAAAGCAGACCATTCAGCTTTTTGAATTCAGACACTTACAGTGTATGGGTTTCAGCACACAACACTGTCTCAGTTGCTGACTTTTTTTTCATTCTTGTTTTTCCTAAAGCCTTGCCACAAGGAAGTAAGAGGCTAAATTTAGACCTCCCCACAGATCTGTGCTGGCTGTGAGGATTTTCCGGTTTCCCTAAAATCTGGCAGTCCACGCATGCTCAGAAGCCTAAAGCACCATCATTATCTTCTCAACCTCAGAGTGGGTTGAAATACTCAGTTTTATTCTAGTAAATAACCTCAATGTCTCTGATCCTAAAATTGTTTAACAAGTATGCTTCTTTTTTTTTTTTCTGTCCACACCAAACATGGCTGCATTATGATGTTATTGGAATGTTTTTTTAAGAATATAATGAATAAATCAAGATTATGCTTAAGTGAAATTAAGTAGTTTTACAACATTAAAGTCAAAATTATGGTATGTGGGGAGGAATTAGTGACACCTGGTGGCAGATAATTAGTTTTAAACCTGTTCTGATTAGATCATGCAAATGTTTGCTTAAATCTTTACTATACGTGTCAAAGAAGCATTCGTACTTGTGATTGAATGTGTGGTTTCACTGGGTACAGTGCTTTGCAAAATTATATTTGCCTTTTTCGGGATGGAGAGCCAGAATCTTTGCTGTAGATGGAAAGGTTGTCAACTATCTGCACTTTACATCATAGGATACCTCAGTGGGGGGGATGGAACAAATACTGATGTGTCGATGGTGGCAAATACTCAGGCAGTGTGACCGTGACAACAAACTGGTTAATTTAAATAAAGTCCAAAATGACAGACTTCATTGACAAAGACACACATTGAGTCAAGAGTTATTTTTCATATACATAATTATATGGAAGGATTTGATTTTGTAAAATACTTTTAAAAAAACAATTAAATTAATATTGAATATTGAATAAATATTGAATTATTTTTTTTATTTTATTTAATAGAAATTACGTTTAACAACAATCAACAACTAATAAGGCATTAAACGTCTACATCCTGGGGAATTTCTTGACCAGACACAGTTACAAAACATGAATAGTTACTTCTAGACTTCTTGTTATTTTGAGTCTTTCAATTTATTAATTTATTTTCATTTGTAATGCTAAACATAACATAACTGGAGTAATTCATTATTTGAAATGTGTTACATACTATAAAAACATGCTAAATCATTTTTCTTTTTTTTTCTTTTTTTTACCCCAGATTGGCAATTTAAACTAGAGGATACAAACCTTAAAAGTGTGTCACTTGACTTTGTTTTGATTTTAGACTAGATTTATACAAATAATTTTCAAATGTATTTATTTGTGCCTGTCCATTAAAGGACTAATTTCCTGCCAATTGTCTTTTCTACAGCCTACACAGAACAGCCCATTGAAAAGTTTTTGTATGAACTCTTGTGCTGTTCTTAAGTCATACTCTTAGTTTTTCTGTTTAGCAATTTGCAGCTGGTTGTGAAATGTTCTTTAATTTGTTGTGTAACAGTTTTTTCTTTCATCTTTTAGTGACAGTAGTCGGGACCAGCAACACTTCTGCTGACAGGTGAGCCCCAGAACACGCAACCATCTCATGCATGTAGATATCTTTCAAATTTATTTAAGATAGTCATTGTGTAATTGCTTTTTGAAAAAAATTCTGTGATTTGATCACTTACCCAAAAACAAATAAAAAAAGAGTATATATTTCTTAAGTGCACATATTTCTTAAGTGTTTTCAGTGAAGAGTATCCAGCTATTACAGAAGAAGATGCTTTGGCTAAATGGGCATCAGATCCTGCAAACACTGCTTGGATGGAAAGTAAGTGAGATAACTAGTTTGATAAAAATGTTAATTCAACTGTTGTTTACTGTGTTATTACACAATAGCTGCCTTTAAAAAATCCTTTCTTTTTTCCATTTGACACAACTCAGACTTCCTTCCCTTTTCATTTGAGGAAGCGGTCCCTTCTGTGTGCCTTTCTTTTAGATTTTTTTACATTATTACTCAAAGGTGGCCCAAGTTCTCCAGCTGTCTTTTTGTGCCAAACGTTTATTCTTGTTATGTTTTGAAATGTGCTTCAGATCCAGATGAGGTGATCTACGATGATGTCCCCAGAGAAAATTCAGACTCTAACACAGGTTTGAACTTTTCTTTTCAAGTTCAGCATGAAGCTTCCTCTCTTTAACTTTGCAGCAGGCAGTACGACTTCTTTCATTTCGCTAGCTTGCTGTGATTTCTTCAACTGTGATTTTTCTCTTATTGCTGTTCAATGTGACACAATAGCATTCGCAGGTTTTTATATATGAAAGTAGAATTGGCACTTTTTGTGTTTTAGTTTCTATATGCAGCATGTTAAGTTCAAGGTTGATTAATGTGACCTGTTTTTTTTTTTTTTAATCAAAAGGCCAATAGACTATGGTTTGCAATGTGCTGAACAGAAAGTGAAGTTACAGAATGTCCTCAAACTGTTTTTGTCCTCCACACAGATCCAGATGAGATGATCTATGATGATGTGGAGCTCGGCGAGGAGGGCGGCTGCAGCAGCTCCCTCGATAACGGCTGGAGCTCAAGTGAGTTTGAAAGCTACGACGAGGCGAGCGATGGGGAGGGTCGTCCTGAGAATGGCCTGCCCCATGCATTCATGAGAGGAAAGCCACCACAGAGGAAAATGCATGTGAGTATAACAAAGACCTTTTCATTTCCACTATTGCTTCCTGCCAGTAACTAAAACCTCTGTCTGTTTGATAACCAGATTTTTACATATTTGTTCAGTTCTCTCCTAATATAGCCTTTACATGAAGGTTTAGTGGGCACATTTTCATTATTTGTGGAAAAGATTGTCATATGTAATCATTTACATGCAGAAATGGATTCATTAATGGGTTAATGAAATTGATTAATCTCCACTCTGAAAAATGGATGCCTATCCAGTGGGTTCCCTTAATCTTATCTATTCATTTTCACTTACCAAAGAGATTGACTGAAGATTTCTGGAGATGTATGGAGCATAGAGCAGGGCCACACTGCTTCACCCATACCTGTTGCTGCATCCTGCTGGTCAGCTCAAAAAAGACAAATCTGACCATTTGGAAAATCTTTGTAGTTGTTGATCTTCTGTGTTTAAAAAATAATAATAATTCATTACAAAACAAAAGTTGAGTCAAGGAAGATATTGAATTTTTACATAATTTTTTTTTTTGTAGGAATCTAGTATTTTACATTTTGGGTTTAAGCTTTTCTGTAAACATCATGAACCTCTCACATGTATATTCAAGTTTAACTTATAGTTAAAACCTCATGGAGGAGAGAGAAGAATGCATGATGCCTCAGAAATAAGTCGCTGAAGCCCAGTTATTAGAGCAAGTTGTATTCTGGATTTAATAAAAAAAAAAATATATATATATATATATTCTAATCTAAAATACTAACTGAAGTTTAATGAAATCAGGACAAAACAAAAAGTGCACTTCTCAGAAGAGGTGTACTGAAATTTTTAATTTTTTAATTTTATTTTTTCCCATTTTCCATGATACATTTAAACAAATCATATTCATGGAAAAACTAAAGCAAATAAAAAGACCAAATGCTTAAGTTTCCTGATGCGTTGAGCTGCAACCCGACTCTAAAGCCATGACCAGTAATCCTTGCTTTGCTTTTGTTTAGCTCTCTCAAGATCTGACACGCTTGAAAGAACACTATGAGAAAAAGATGAAAGAGCTAATGGCAAGTACAGTGGGAACTGTAGAGCTGCAGCAGTTAAAACAGAAACACGAGCAGAAGGTAAACTAGGCTCACCTCATGTGTCTGTGCTAGATTTAAAAAAAAAAAAAACTAGTCCCAACCCCTTTGACTCTCAGTCTGGCTAACCCCACTGACCTGGTACCTTTATTCTGGTTTGGTGTTTAATATTGTTGGTGGTGGTACTGGTGAAGGGTTAGCATCCAGTCATTTTACATCACCGCCTGCTTCATTGATAAGTCTTGCGATTTCTTTTTGCACCAGAGGTTATAAAGGTTAAGATAGACTGTTTTCTAACATAGATGAGTTTAATTGACAGTGAACTGAGACACCAGCAACACCAACTTTTATTTAGTGTCTTATTCAGCTGAGACCTTCACGTACAGTGCCTTCCAAAAGTACTCATAGATTTTCATTACCAACTCACAAGCCTTGTATTTTTTCCTTCACAATTCACAAATATGTTGTATTTTTTTAACCCTACCAAACAAAATCCTAGTCAAATACACTAGAGCTTGGAATTGTAACTTGGCAAAATAGTAAAAAGTGTAAGAGGAATGAATACTTCAGAAAGGCACAGGAAATTGTGGAATGAGATACTGCAGAACAGGTTTACTGCAGTCAATCTCTTACATCTTACATTTGTTGCTTTGTAATAAAATCCAGACTTTATTTTTTGCTGACGTCTCAGTTGCTGCTATTCTTTGATCCTGTTGTCCCGTAATATTGATCTGTACTCTAACCCTCTTCCATTGTAGCTCAGCCACTTCATAGCTTTAGGTTTAAATAATGTGAACTAAACATCACCTTAGACAGAGCTCTGATGGTTCAAAAAACAAAGTGAGATTTAATGTTGAGTTCTAAGTTATAGCATTTTCCTGTCATCCAAGATGCAAAAGCTGGTGAAGGCAGCTAAGGAAGGGACAAAAGATGGGCTTGAGAAAACTAAAGCTGCGGTGAAGAGGGGACGTTCTTTCATCAAAACAAAGTCATTCTGTCAAGGTATGTGACTACTTTGCAGAGCCACACAGCTCTAACATCCGTTAATAAAATTACATACATACCTCCTGTTTTAATATTTTAGAGAGAAAGTTAGCTTGCTTTGAGGATGAGTCTGAGGTCTTCATCGAGGTGGACTGCTTCAACGTTGAGCCTGTGCTTCCACCAACTCCAGAGGGTCTCGCGCAGCAGCAGGTAAGGATTTTCCATAGGAGTCTTTGAAGCTGTAAAAGTAGGAAACCGTGTTTAAAAACTAATGCTTTTGTATTTGCTATCTGCAGCTTGTGCGACGATGTATACTGGGCTCTATATTAGACAGTGAGAAGAACTATCTCGATGCTCTCAAAAGAATTTTAGAGGTGTGTAAGGACAGCTGGACAAATGTGGTGCCTTTACTTTGAAATGGTGGTTATTACAGGTTATGTATGCACATATTTTTTCAGCAATACGAGAAACCCCTTTCCCAGATTGAGCCAAGGCTGCTCAGTGACAGGAAGCTGAAGATTATCTTTTATCGTGTGCGGGAGATCCTGCAATGCCACTTCCTGTTCCAGATTGCACTGGCAAGCCGTGTGTCTGAGTGGGACAGCTTGGAGATGATCGGGGATGTTTTTGTGGCGTCGGTAAGAATTAATCTGTATATGAAGCACTCATCATAAACATAAATGACAAATCAGTCGAGGTAGTCTTTGCTTTTTTATGAAGATTTTTACACTTTAAGCTCTTCTTTTTAAAATGTAGCTTAATAAAAGCATTTCTAATTGTGCCATTGACAAAAAACTTCAGTCACTCACCTGCTTTTGCAGGCATTTTCATAAAAAAAATCTATATATCAATATACCTGTGGTGTTGGTAACTGGGCGATAAGAAATTTCTTATATAAACACAAGGAGATACATTTTTGGAAACAAGTGTAAAATATTATGTGCATTTTAAAGTAAGATACAACTTAACTTTACATACACATTCTCAGTTTCTTATTTGATTGTCCAATCTGCATCTTTCTGCAACACAAGTTAATACTTAATTTATATACATTCATATTAAATGTTTGTTCCCACATACAGTTTTCTAAATCCATGGTGCTGGATGCCTACAGCGAGTATGTTAACAACTTCAGCACAGCAATGGCAGTTGTAAGGAAGACATGTGCCTCTAAATCAGGCTTCCTGGAGTTCCTCAAGGTTTGAAACCCTGATACTAACCTCGAGTGACAATGGTACTCATATTATGGATGATGATGTCCTATCTTTTTTCTTTTTTTCCCATGTGTTGTGTTTTGTTGTGTTTCATCTATATCAAAGCTTTTTGCAGATATTCTCTCTAACTTGCACAGTATAAAGCAATGTTATTCCAGTTATTTTATACACACTTATATGTAGTTTTCTTATCTGCATTATAATAACAGTTGTGCTTATGTACAGCATCGTCAAGAATCCAGCAGTGACCGCATGACTCTTTATGGCCTGATGATGAAACCCATTCAGAGGTTCCCACAGTTCATTTTACTTCTTCAGGTAATAAGCAGAACAACTGGTTATGCATGCTCTCACCAGCAGAGGGAGTTGGAAACTTTCTAATGAATGCCCTTGTTTTTTTTTGTGGTTCTCACAGAGAGGGAATTGCTCTCTGTGGATATGGTTTTCCTTTTCTTTCAACTTTCCTCTCCTTTGGCCTAGATCTTTTTGCTATTTTTATCTATGTCTTTTCATAAAATTAAAGCCATAGTTTTGCTTTCAATTGTAAAAGTTAATGTGAATACCAGAAAAATCATAACATTATGTGGCATTGAAAATGTCCACATAAAGCTTAAAAATTAATAATTGTTTACCAGAGCTATTGCTGGTAAACACAGTATTAATGCTGTGTTCCTCTCACCCTCATCAGGACATGCTCAAGAACACACCAGTGGGTCATGCGGACCGTCTCCCCCTGCAGATGGCCCTGACTGAGCTGGAGACCTTGGCCGAGAAGCTCAATGAAAAAAAGAGGGAAGCTGATCAACGCTGCGAGATCCGTCACATTGCGAAGGCCATGAATGAACACTACCTTAATAAGGTCTGTATTTGTAGGCTTTGGTAAAGGGCTGTGCTTAAGTCAAACTTCAAATGGATCAGAAAACATTACCATAGTTTTCTCTATCATCTCAAATAGACAGTTTAAATGAAACCCTGTTTAGACTTTGTTTAGCCTTCGAGGTATTTATTTGTTCTCTCTTGCAGTTTGACCGTCATAGATGTCTGGTTATATCACAGACATAGGTATTCTCCTTTTAAATATCATTTCACATCGTTTTTTTTTTTTTGTAAACTTGTCACTGATAATTATAATGACCAATTTTGGATGTTCTTTTCTTGGTGACTGCATCCACATCAGAGTGGTGTTGTCACTGCAACCTAGTAGCATTTAGTATGATGCATTCACTGGCTGAAAAAAGTTTAAAAAATTTTCCATTTCCATCAATGCCGATCAACCTGCAGATTTCCGTAGTGATTCTTTAGTGTTTTGCATCTTATCAGTGCTTTAGATTTTTGCTTTATTTATTGTATTGTGTTAGACATGCGCATATAACCCAAACAATCCCCTTATTGTCATTATTTGTCTGTCTGTTCCAAATACTCTGGTTTCTGTGCTAACTCATGTTTACAGGACATCAAGCGTGGGCCTGTTGACTTTTAGTCCTCGCAAGCTTTAATTACTCTGAATCATAGTTTTTATATACTGTCATCCATAATGAGCACTTTCACAGTGGAGTCACAAGAAACATGTGGAAAACAAGCTTCAAATTCATTCACTGTGAAATCAAGGACGTTTATCATGTCTATCATCACTCTTTAGCTTCTGAGTAACGGTAGCCGCTACCTGATTCGCTCAGACGACATGGTGGAGACTGTTTACAATGAACGTGGTGAAATCATCAAAACGAAAGAGCGACGTCTCTTTCTGCTAAATGATGTCCTGATGTGTGCCACGCCCAATATCCGGTAAGGGAGATCTTAACCTTTTCAATACAAATGTGATTTAATACTGTTTGTAATCTTTGAATATTGGACCATGTGTTCTCCCTGTTGTATACGTTTAACTATGAGTTTCAATTAAAATGTTCAGCTTAATTTTCTCTCCACATTTTCTTGCATGTCGATGTCACTTTCTCACAGTACTGGAGGGGAATTTTCCTTCCTTCCTAAACATGTTTCTTTTTTATCTCCACTTATGACATTGGCCTTTCCTTTTTTAATCTCAACAGATCCCAGGATGGCAGTGGGAGTGGCAGTGGAAATGCTCCACTTGACCAGAAGTTTCTCCTGAAGTGGAGTGTACCTTTAAACTTTGTAGAAGTGCTGGAGTTTGGATCCAGTGAGGAAATGGTTGATAATAGCCGATACCCTGCTCCTCACTCTGGGGAGAAGGTGGTGATCAACGCTAAGCCAAGTATGAAACACAATGTTTCATTGAACTTGTTTTGACCATTAGTCTTCCAATCACCTTCCTTCTATTTTCTGATAATACCTGGTTTAATTTATTAAGATATGCAAAGATTCTTTCTTTTAAGTTATAATTTTTAAACGTCTTCTGTGGTTTTAATCATTTCAATAAGATCATTCAGAAAGTGCAAGAGTAATTGTAGTTTTCTTTGGTTGGATGTAGCATGGAAACATAACACAGTACTGGAATGTCCAACATCTGTTTCTGCACACTGCTCCTCAGCTTTTCTAAAGAATGGTTCTACTACATGGCCGTCAAAACTTGTTTGGAAATATTTCTGATTACAAAAACACAAACAGTGATGCTTTCTAATGAAACAGATTAACTTCTATTGCTTATATTAAGATACCGTGGCTCCGATTCACAGTTAAGTATTTTATGTGGATATTGGAGGTGCCCCTTGTGGGGAAGGTATTGGTTCTGCTGCAGACATCCAGAGTTCAAGTCCCACGCTTGAGACCTTTCCTGTATGTCTACCGCCCTTTTCTCTCAGCCCATTTCCTGTCAGTTGGCTGTGAGTGAAGGTCACTACTGTCACCAATCTTTTTTTTTTTAACCTTTGCTAAATTCAGACTGAGTGTGTGTTTTTTCTCTCTCTCTCAACCTCTTTGGCTGTTTGGTCTGCTAGCTACTGAGTCCAGTGATTTCAGTCTTTCCACTGAGTCTTCCTCTATGGTAAACAGCTGCTCAGCCACTTTAAAAGACCCAGATCAGGGAAAGAGGCATAAAGAGTGTATTATTTGTTTTTTCTGGTGCTGTAGCTTTTATTTTTTATATTCTCTGTGGTATTGCTAAGTTGCTAAATGCTTTGATAAATAGTTATGCATGGCCTGTCTTGCAGAGGTCAAAGACGCACACTTTTACTGTAGTACCAGGCTGGAATTGCTACCTGTAAATTACACTGCCTTTTTCAGTACACCCACGTTCCAACTTTTAAAGAGTTTCTCTTGTACAGCTACCTGGCATTCAGTCTTTTCTGCCATATGCGATGTTTATCTTCTATTAAAACCAATGATATTGACCATCGGAGTGCAAATTCATCTGTTTTCTTAGAATGAATTTCAAATGTATGCCAAGCATTTGTATTCAGTCCCATCTTATTATATTTCAGTTGCATTTCAGTCATGTGTGACTCTTCCCTAGTAGCAATATACCTTTAAAAGACTTAACAGATATAACTGCAGTGAAAGGCAGCTCAAAAAAGGAACTTCAACACAATTGAGTTTTATTTAAAAAAAATACTTTGAAAACCATTTGTCATTTTCCTTTTATATACTCATATTTCCTTTTATATTTCCTTTTATATGCCCTATAAAACCATAATAGTACATTGAGGCTTCTGATTGTGTCATAAAATGTGCTCTTGGCACCGTACATTAACTCTTTCTGTTTGGTTTAAAGCCATCTTTAAGTGTGCATGCACTTCAAATGTGTGTGTTTTTTTTTCCAGGAATAAGTGGAAAGATAGTTGCTCATCTGTTTTGGGCCAAAAAGCGCCTCTGGCACCTGAGCACTGCGAAAATATTCCACAACATGTGATGTCATTTTATTGTCATGTCTTTCTGCGCTGGCACCATCTAAAGCTGGTCATTTAAAGTCTCGGTTTCCTGCTGCTCTCACACCCAGTGTGTAATTTGTAGACAGTTTGCTTCTTGGAAATTTGTTACTTTATAAATGGCTGGCTTTGCTATAAAAATGCTTTTACTGGTGCTTTTTTTTTGTGCACATTTTGGTATTCAACACTTGGACAAAGCCATTTAGAAATCTAGATCTTAACATAGATCACAAAAAGCCAATATAGGCACTGGGAATGGACATTTCAGTGTCTCTTCCTGTTTTTATATTGATAATTAAGTTCTAAACAGCAAGAACCCATAAATAGTCATGGATTCTGTTGCCAGACAATAAATGATTCATTTATATCAAAGATGCCTCAAGGTCTGTGAAAATTAAAGCTGATCTTTTAACTTAAAGTTGTAAAGGATTGAGCACAATTCAACTTTTAAATTAGATTTAACAGTATCCAATTCTATATATACGGTACCGGACAGTAGTATGTCTAAAATTGTCTACGTTGTTTGAATGTGTTCTGTACAGCAGTGTGTATATTTTTTAAGGTATAAGTTTTAAAAAATACTGCACCATGCTCATTGTGGGATACCTGGAATAAAAGGGAAGAGATAAAAGTATGATTCAAAGTGACATGCAAAACCAAACTTTTGGCCCCTGAAAGTCAATAGTGGAATATGTGTGTCCTTTTGAATATACAGTGACATGAATGACAAGCCAGGCAAGTTTATAAAACTGTCACTGCAGCCTGTGGGAAACTGTTTGCCCTTTATTGATTTTTGTCCCATTTCTCACTGCTGCTCTCATTCTTGCTCATTGTTGCCCAAGTGTCCACTCTTTTCTAAGGGGAACTATTGTGAACTGAAACTGTTGCCAAATCAACACTGTTACCAGTTTCTGAACACAGTTTTTTTTTTTTCTTTTTAGTTTTTTTTAACTATCCAGACTGTTTCATTCAATGTTCATTGGGGTATTTGAACTTTTCATTTCTTTTTCATTTGTAGACAAGCTTTACATGGGTCCTGGTCAGCTGTACCAAGACCTGCAAAACCTAATTCATGACCTTGGTTTGGTCAACCAGATAGCTGGTATGATTGGCAGCCTCAAAGGGAACTACCAGGTACTGTATACCTGCACTAAACTCAAACATAAAGTCAGATCAGGGGCAGTTACATTAATATATTACCCACAAACCAAAGCAGAAGTAACTTTGTCAACACATTTTCATTTTGAAATGTTTTTTAGACATGTTAGTTTTAGTCTAAAACCTGCTACATTGTATTGCTTGTGTGGTAAAATAAAAAATAAAAAAAAAAGTGTAATGGGGATTTTTTTTTCACAGCACTTTCAGTTCCACTGATTATAATTGCTTTATTTTGTGTGAGGTTTTTAACTCAGGTTTTACAATTTTTAAAACAGAACAAAAGGATATAAAGGTGACATTTTAAACAGTTTTTACATTAACAGTGGAGCAGGAATCAAAGTTGTCATTACAAGCAGTCTCTGTATGTATTCCCTGAAAAATGTGGATCCATACCTTAAATAAACTCTGCAAAAACTTGCCAACATTTCCAAATCACGAATGAATCATGAGCATGACAGAGATCGCAACCTAAAAAGTATAAAGCAGAGCAACTTCACTCTGAGCAACTTCCTTAGCCTGTCTTAACTGCGCCTTGTTTTCTCTTGCAGTTTGAAAACCTGGTTGCGATTAGGGTTCAGGTGTTTACTCTATTTAATACATGTTTAATGATACAACTTAACATATATAGCTATATGTTCCTTCAGAATATGTAAGAATAATATTTAAGCTACGGTTTGTTTTATTGTGAGAAACTTTTCCTGCAGAGTTTAGGTGTCTCATAGTCTTTGATTTGAATCGTCCGGAGGTGTCCTATCAAGTGTCAACTCAAGACAATGAAATAGTGCTTTAGCCAGCAGAGTGCAGTGTGAGTCTCTGTGTTAGTGCTGTGCTGGTAGGTCTGTCAAATTCAGACAGGAGTCATAGAGAGACTCACAAAGAAGTCGTATGTCCAAATAGATGAAGGTGAGAATGAATTCTAATGCAGAGGAATAGGACTGAAAAAAGCCAGACATACTGTTGCAAGATTTTATCTCTACATTCATCATCCTAATTCATACAGACAGTATTCTAGTTATAAATGAGCAACAAGAGAATTTTCATGTTGAGGGCTATGCTGAAATGTTGAGATGTCATTGGTAATGACATTTTAAGGCCACATTTTCTCCTACTTGTTCTTGCAATGTGAATGCTAACCCCTACAAATTCTGTTCTTCAGAATTTTCCAGAAAATCATTTGTGGAAATACTGTGGAAAACATTTATTCCATTCCTTCCCTTGTTGTCGTACTCATTCCTTCACATTTTCCATATAATTCTTTCACTCCTCAATTAGATTTCTCTGATTTTTTGTTTTTTCCCCATTTTTTTCTCCATTATTTTTTGTGTGCAGAATGTAAATTCCACTGTGGCACAGGACTGGGTTTCAGGTCTCCAGAGGCTGATATTGAAGAAGGAAGAAGAGATCAGGGCAGCTGACCGGTGCAGGATTCAGCTCCAGCTGCCTGGCAAAAACGACAAGTCTGTTTTTTACACAAATAAATGCAAATGTAAATGTAAAATGCCACATGTGGAAAACTAACCACACATATTCTTGAAAACACTATTTTTACCTTAAAACATGGTGGAAACATCAAGCTGAAGGAATGCTCTTCTTCAGCATGGATTGGGAAGTTATTAGGATTTAATGAGAGAATGGGAGGAGGTGAATCTAGAGAAACCCTGAAAAAAAGTCTGTTGAAGCCCATAAAACACTTGAGATTGGGATCAAGGTAGACCTTCGAGGAGAACAGCAAACCATTGCAAACAGCTAGTGCTACAATGTGACGGTTTATATCAAATCATATTCATGTGTTTGAACAGCTCAGTCGACATCCAGACCTAAATTAAACTTAGAATTTGAGGAAAGACTTGGAAATCAATGGTTATCGAATCTGACTGATCTTGAGTTTACTTGCATAGAAAAATAGGCAAATGTCTCGTTCTCTAGTTGTAACTGTAACGGGTGACTCTACAACCTAAGCTTAAGCCAACCTTTATAAAAAAAATTTCCTGCAGGAAACTTTTTATCATGTATTTGTTTCATTTATATATTTCTTCATCACAAGTATGTCCTATAATGCCCAAGACTACATAAAATCTCAATGAAATATATTGAAGATTTTGATGGTAAGATGACAGAAGGAAAATTCAATGGAGATGAAAATTTATGTAAGGCACTGTAATCAAAAACATAGACAGATAAGTGAATATAGATGATGGCCTACAGACAGAAAAACATTAGGAAAGTTATTGCTGGTCCAGGTTTGGAATATAAAAGAGGTCAAAGGCATTTTATTAGATGTTAAATTTCTAAGTGTTTTAATGATAAATTTACTAATCAATGGAGACTATTTTAAACTTTATCTGAAGAACTTTACAGTTAAATGCAAGCCAGAGTCCTCTATTTTTCTGATCATGTGTGTGTTTGCTTTGTCCTCTTCTATTTTGGCAGGGCCGGTAAGCTCACATACTTCAGTGCGGTGTTTAATACACTCAGCCCAGCCATCAAACAGTCATGGATCAGTAACCTGCAGATGGCAAAGTTGGCTCTAGGTACTGCATTGTACTTCCATGTATCTGTAGCACATTAGACCTTTTTGAATCCACACATAACTCTTTTCCACTTATTTAATATAACAGTCAAACTTGGGCCTGTTCAGATTGTGCACATCCAATGAGAACCGGCATGCTTAATCACAGTTTGTGCTAATAGTTTGAATTCCTGAGATGACAATTGGAGTTTTACAATCTGATCCCTGGAGCGTTCTAACTGAAAACAGATGGCTTTGTTCTCTGAATAACCTGTGTGCCTTATTTGTGTTTTAAATCAGAGGAGGACAACCTGCAGGGCTGGTTCTTTGCAGATGATGACGGTAATCATATCAAGAAGCAGAAACACCCCCTCTTGCTTCGACAGATGCCTGTGGTAATGTCAAAACTGCAAGAGTTCAAGGTGAGCTTCCCTCTCTACAACTCTTTTCAAGGTATCCTGGGTTTTTTTCATCAAAGATAATCCAAAAAAAGAAACTACCAGTAGTAGATTAGTTAGCAATACTTACTAAGAATTCTTGGTAAGCTGGTTGACAGCTTTATTCTATTCATTTAACATTTGATTGATTTACCATCCCGGAGAATGTTTCTGATAAATATTAAGACCTTTGGAGTCAAACAAATTACTGTGGGTGATAAATATTGTACACTTTATTGTAGAAACTTCACATTTTTCTTCAGGGATTTATAAAAAAAGGAAACATTTAAAGATTTCCATACTAAAAATAATCAAAAGAAAAATACCCATCTACTCATTGCCAAAAACATTTTCTTGTAAATTTGTTTATGTACAATGAGAATTTACTTTAAGTAAACCTAAAACTTTTTCAAAACATTACAGTATTGGCAAATAGATTTAAATCTGTGCAAGACTTAAATGTATAATATGATCACAATGCTTTTATGTCATATATTGCTAACTCTTTGTTGTTGTTTTTTAAAATAGTGTTATTGCATGTAGTGCTCTTTAAGTTTCCACACAAAGTTTCTGTGTTTCAACAACTTAAAATAATACCAAACAGCTGATTTTGTCTTTCTGTTAGTATGTATTGACGAGCAGTGCAGAGAGGCAGCACAAAATCACCCACTCATACAACCATAAACAACACCAACCTTTCTTTTGCTTTTTCTGGCCTCTAACTAAAAGATCTTTAAACTATTCGAACTATACGATGGAGAAGTTCACTGGTTTTGAAACCAACACTTTTTAAAACCTCATTGTACTCTGATACCAGTAACCAAACCATGCCTAACTGTTCTTTTATTTGCTGTGGTGAGAGAGAGAGCATGTTTCCACAGCTCTACCTCTTAGAATCTGGCATCGCTTTAAAGTCAGAAGAAACAGTTACTTCTGGGAAAGAGACAGGGCTGTAATGCTTTCAATGTAGGAATAATTTTATTAGATATTTAATGACATTCCTATTCTACTTGGAACTTAGATTGACCTGATGAAGGTATTAGTAGGATATAAATGTTAAATGCCAAGTCTTCAAGATTCCCTTCTTTCATTCCAATTGTCCTCTAAAGAGAGCAAGGGTTCACGCTCTGGTTTTATATTCTGTAGCAGTCTTTACAGCTGTGAGGTGAAGATTATCTTTTAAATTTTTATGGGGTAAAGACTATGGTTCGGATGTCTACTGCTACTACTTCAGCCTCATTACATGGAGCAGCATGCTTTTCCTGGTGAGCTGCAACAACACTGCAGACCTTTAAATATGCCCCTGTCACCCTGCACCATCTGGTTGATTTTTATTTTTTTTAATTCTCTCCTTTTTACAATCGTTCGGTAAAGAGAAAAAATAAATCTTTCGCTGTACATTTAAAGTGGTAGGTCACACTGAGTTGTGCAGTAAAATGAAATTACCAGAATAAAGTAGTGATCCTATCTTGCCATGAATCATTTCAAAGACCCTTTGTGTAATTGTTACACAAATTACAATGAAATATATTGTTGGCAGATGAGGTTAGCAGGCTTCAGGATCTTATTCATTTATATCATCTTGTATGTCAAATCTTGTACGTCAAAATAGTTGCCACACTTATGACATTTTGAGTTGCAGTGAAAATTCACAAATAACACAAGCTTTTTGCTAAACTTAACCATAAAAGAGTAATAACAAAAGGGAAGTTCTAAGTGTATTGTGAGCACTGTACAGCCCATGCTTATTCTTTAGCATTTATCTGCATTGAAAGTTTTTGTTTTATGTAAAACGTGTAGATAAAAAACTACTTTATACTCAGTTTATAAAAACTGCGGCAGAAACTTTAAGAAATGTAAATTTGGCAAATTATGACATTTTGAAATACTGGACTGAAAGGTTGGTGAACTGGTGAGCTGCTCTCTCACAGGACGGTGATCCATGCGCACACTGAGGTCACATTGCAAGCTGTGCAGCAAGTACTGATGGGCCAGTGGTTACTGTGAAAACAACAGCTGGAACTTTAAATAGCTGGTTATCTCAGTCAGTTAGAGCGTGTTGCTAATAGCTACAAGGTTTGATCTCTACACTGGCTAATTAATTTTGAACTCTCTGCAAAACATTTAGACTTAAAAGGTTAAAGTGACTCTAATCTTGACCCATAGTACCTTCTCAGTTTTCAAAGGGTAATTCAAGCATGTAATTGGTAGGCTTACAGTTAAACAAACAATTGGTTAAAACAAATAGAGATTCAGAAGTCAAGCCTGGGTGTTCAACAAGTTTGACATTTTTTTACGCTTAGGTTGAGACCACAAACATCTGTGACTTTGTCATGGTGACCGAACGCATGTATTTATGAGATGTTTTTCTATGTTCTGTGGCAGGTGGAATGTGCTGTTCACAACCCAGAGCCATACATAAACACAGAAAGCACAGCCGACTCTCCTGTGGTTGGCCACGGATGTGTCTGGGTGAGATCATTTTCTGTATGGCTTAGAACAAGTTGAAAATCTAGCATAACAAAAATAAGTTTCAGGATTATGCAGTATGATTCATTTTTGAAGGAGTTTGGGGGTTTTCTTCTCTTGGTTCAGGTTGCAAGTTGCACCAACCAGATGGGTCAAATTGCCATAGTGGCCATGCAGAACTCCAGCCCTAAAGTGACGGAGTGTTTCAATGTGGAGTCCCGAATCCTTTGCATGGCTTACGTCCCAACAGAGCAACTTAAGGAGGATGGTGAAAAGCTTCCAGATAGCAATTATGCTCCCGCTGCAAAGGCCAGTGATACTCCTACTGTCTGCTTAGGCATGGAGGAGGGCAGGTACGAATACAATACACACCCTTACATGGAAAATCTCCTGAAGATGTAGAAATTTTTCCAAAAATTCAAATACACCTAAACGAATCACTTTGTTTTTCCTTACAAACATGTATATTGAAATATTTTTGCTCTAATTCTTTTTCTACACATCCTGTTTAGTATTATTGTGTATAAGAGCACGCAGCGGTCCAAGAAAATACGTCTGCAGCATTTCTTCACCCCAGACAAGTCCACAGTCACCAGCTTGGTCTATAAAAAGCCCTGTCTGTATGCTGGCCTGGTTAGTGGTGCCGTCGCCATTTACTCCAGATCCCAAGGTGTGTTTCTTAAATATTGCAGAAGCACTTTTAAGTTTTTAAAACTTTATTTTTGTTCTTTTTCAAATCTGCAAATAAATGAAGTTCCAAACACAATAAATAGCCAGTAAAAAACAACCCAGTCATATAATTGTGACGTTCTGCCACAGCCCTATATCTGGTTGAATTTATTTTCAAACTTGTATACTTTACTGACAAACTTTGATATTTTACAACCCAATGTCTATGGATATGTGTGTTAGGTGTGTAAGTCAGTGGCTCTGGGTGTAGCTTGAGGTCAGGGGTTTTCTCTGCTGTGTGTTTAAGCCCGGTTTCCATTTGCTTTGTTGTCTAGGTAAACCCGCTATATTAACTCTGACCTGTTTAATGTTTTTCCTCCTTTGCTTCTGAGTACAGATGCCTTACACCCAGCCAAACTCTTCCCACACTTTCACATTCTCCGTTTTGTCCCATCTGTCATCAGCTGTCATAGTGGTGCAGACAATGTGTGTCTGGGATTGTGCGATGAGTAGAAATATGCTATTTTTTTCCCAAAATTTGACGCAACTGAATTTGAATTTCTTCACAATTGTGTAATTCAACTGTTGTAAGCCATTTAGGTCATTTTTATTACACTACCTTGCAAACATTTGAACGTTTTTTGACTTCTCTAACCTGGTAAAATGGATAAGTTTAAAGGTAAATAATCACTTTTGAAAATCTGCACTGTCAAAAAGGTTTCGCTGCCCTAGATTTTGGAAAGCAAAGACAGATGAAAATGGATGATTGCCTACAGACCTTTTTTTTCTATTCATCTGGACTTCACTTGGAAGAAATTATCAGTGTGCAACTATTGTGGAATGTTTTTGGATGATTCCTTGTTTGGGTGACTATAAGAGGTTTTTTCCCCCTCTTTAGTCCTACTGGTTACCAGCTAGCTGTGTAATTTATGGGACTATTTTTTACCAGATGCAATCTTGGTCCTGAACAGTTGAAGTGTTTTTTACACCATTAAAAACTCTCACACCATGTCTGGAATATAATGCTTAATGCTAAAATTGACTCATTCTGAAAACATTTCAGCGTGTCGGTTTTGTATATGTCTGTATAATTTGTATTTTAACCAGATGTATGGTTAAACTTGCTGAGGACAGAATCAGATCATATTCCTTGAGGTATGTATCTTCAAAACCTCTGGATATCAAAACAACTGAACAGACGGGCTTTCTAATTCCTACAGTGTTGCTGAGCTTCTGAAGCTGTATGGGAAATCTGACTCTGCTGTTGATGCAGTGTTTCTGAAGCTGGCAACCTCATTCTGCCATGCTTGCCGTTTCCCAAATGAAGGACTGTGTGAGAAATTGAGAAAGGGGGGAGGCAGTGATTCAGCAATGGGCGGACGCCATAGTAAGAAATTCACATCATGAGTTTGGATTTTTTCTGTGCAGCCGACCTGTAATATCTCATTTTTCCCAGAAAGAATAATAAGCTTTATTGTTGGTAGCATTTCTATTTAGTTGTCCGCTTTCGGATAGCTGACAATGACATGAAAGAATGAAACAGTTCAACAAATAAAAGATGTGGGCAGATACACTTCAGCTGAGAGGACTTATGTAAGCCTGAAAGCTGGCACTTCTGTCTTGTTTTTTTTCCACTACTGCTCCTTTTTATTTTCTGTGCAACTTTTTTTTTTTTTTTTCGAAATTCACCTACACAGTGCCATTGTTCCAATATTGACTCCGAGCAAATCCCTTCTGGCTTGAAGGCTGTTATAGCAGTTACTGTATTTCTGGAAAAACAAAAAATATATAGTTTACTACTTTTCCATCAATAGCCATCTTTGGTAAATAAAAATATTTTTTTTTACCAAAATATTTTTGTAAACAAATATTTTACCAAAGTTTCAATCAGCTTATGGTCTAGATTAGCCAAAGGAATGTGATCTATGTCTGCTGTGCTCACTTTCTTTCCATTTTATGACTGCATTGACAAGTACATTCTCTAGTTGCCAAGCTGTTGATATTTATAAAGCTACTGCAGGCAGCATGGTGTTTTTATTGCAGCTATCCTGTACCCAGGCACATGCAGAACACAGTGTGTAGGAGGTGCATGTGGGATACAGCTTGCCTCTGACTAAGGCTTAACAGCCCATCTATATTCATAGTGAGGTGCTGTGAAAACCATCAATGGCCACTTATCAAACATTAGCAGAGTTATAAATGCAGATAACCTTTACAGATGACATTTATAAAGATTGATAGACTGTTACTGCATTGTTTAGGCACTGTGCATACCCATCTTCTTAGTCAGTCATTTAAATGATCCTAATAGAAGTGGGCTCTTTAAAGATAGTGTTATTGTATTGCTTTGAAATGTCTAAAACAATATAGAATTTGATTTGAACAACTTCTTGTAAAGTAAGTCACCAGAAAATATAAATATATTACATTTCACTTCTTATTTTTGCCTTGACCATGTTTTTTTAACTCGACATGTAATTTGCAAAACAAGATATGATTTAGATGCCTTAAAAGATGCCTATGTTTGTTGAAATTTTACAAACAAAATAAACGGATTGCGTATCCTAAATTGTAATTTATATAATTGATAATTATTGTAGTGTAATCCAATCAAGATCTTGGTCTGGGTGAAAAAAAATAGTGAAAAAGTCAGTAATTGATATCCAAAAGTGCAACAATTCCAAATTATATGTATGATGTATGATCAACTAAATAGAATTATGATTATTGGGTTTTATTTATATTTTTATGAAGGGATTGGTAATATGCTAAACAATGAAATCTTCAATTCATCTTTTACATTTTTAAATTGTTGTGTAAAATGTATTTTCTCATATTTCCTGTGCTATAGTCAATTATGATTATTCAAATAGAATCTAACATCTGATTGGCTAAAATGTAACAAGTCAACTGCTGACAAGTCACTTGATCCTTAGCTGTGTTTAAGGTTGACAGAGTAAATTTGACTTGTTGCAACACAGTACTATGAAATAAAATCAAATATTTACATAATTATTATACTCGCATTAAATACATATGAACTTACACTATCATGTGATAAAATAATTAATGATTTACAAATACTTGATCATATTCATATATCACAGGTATTTCTAGATATATTTATCTGATCACATACATGATAAGCATCATATTGTAACTTGAACTTTGGCATCTTGGCACTCAATAGCTGACTTAAGTTGTTTCATGGCATGTGAAACTGTGAAACTTTGGGGTTATAAAACTCAGCTCATTCTCTGCAGACTGCAGAACAAATCAAGAAATTTGTCCAGGAAAAGGATTTTTTAAATTGAAAAAGATGTTTATTTTTTATTACTTTTTTTTGTTTTTATACTTTTCATATATGTTGAATAAATCCACAATGTTCTGAATAAACTATGTTGTGTGTGCTTTCCCAGATGGTTCTTGGAGCTGTGAGAAGCCCAAGTTACTGAAGCTTGGAGTCCTTCCAGTAAAGGCCGTGCTGGCTGTGGAAGATCACCTCTGGGCCTCTTCAGGTGGACAAGTTTTCATCATCAGCACACACACACACTGTGTGGAGGTATGTGACCCAACCAGAATCCTGTGTGGGTAGTTTAACAAACAATCTTCTCTTCATAGACTTGGTGATTTGAAAGATAAATTGGGTTTGAGATATCTGCTTATCTGTCCATCTTTCCCATCTCTCTTATGTAAATCAAACAACAATCAAGCAATAGCAATAAAATCATTTCCGTAACTCTTTTCTGAATATAAGAAGTCTGAGTCTCTCTTAAGAGATAAGGACAGTAAATAAGTTTATAAATTCCAGAAGGAGGAAATATGCACGTTAAGCAGCCCTTTTTTCCTTCTCAAATTTTCCCTGAAAATCTTGGAATATGCCATTTTGTGTTTGTCCCGGATGGGTTTGTATAATGGGAGCACCTGCTGTGGGTCCAGGAATAGTAACAATCTTGTGTCATGTGCTCACTTATAATGGATTTAGCCTCATTAAGCTTATTATGTCAGACCACCTGCTTGTTAACTCTCTTTTCTTCACATAGGACTTACACTTAGTCCAGAGTATTAATTAAAAGTCAGACAGAAAGAAGGACAAAGCAGCAGAGACAAAAAAGTCCCCATTTCATTAAACACATGGAATTGTGTTGGAAAGATAAAATGTAGGTCATCCAGATTTTCTACCATCAGTTTCTGTCGGCTTTAAAATTCTTCTACATAGATTCTTTATTTCCAAGATTGAATCCACCCACATATTGAGCAGCATTTGAGATTCTGTAATATGTAAATATGTAGTCATGCTATCAGCTACTATACACAAAATAAAACATGTTCAATATTATCTGAAGCTGTTTGTGTCTTTCTTCATGGATAAAAAAAGCAGTTCTGAAAATGTGATAAAATAAATCCACCACCTGGTCTGTCCAAATGTGTTAAATATTTTATTTATTTATTTATTTTTATTTGACTCTGAAGCAAATATGTGTACAGACGTAACAGCCGCTGACATTGCCAGGTTGGATCTAGTCTACGCAAGGTTTCAGAGGGTTGCAATATGTTCATCATGCATATTCAACAAAACTGTGCAAGAATTTAACAATATAAATAAATACTTTCCATACACCTCACACGTACAGGGCCCTCACATTTATTAGCACGCTGCTAAAATGCAGAAGAGACTTAAGAGCTTTGTCTTTCCATATGTGACCTGAGTATCTAAGAAACTGAGGAAATTCCCTGATGTATTTTAAATTTAGCAACATCCGAACAGAAATTGGTTCACATCAAAGCTGAAACTCAAAGTCAGATGCTCATCAGTGCAGTATGAATAGTCCAGTGCAGCGAGGAATGTTCAGACCTCTATAATGGAGAAACTAAACAGCAGCCACTCAAAAGAATGGCCCAGCACAGAAGAGCAAAGTCACTGCGTCGAGACTCAGCAATTCCTTTATATCCCAAGGACAATTGGGACTCTTGTTTGAATTTACTAATGCACACATGTTGGACAGGAAAGAGTGGGCTAAAAGAAGCCATCTGTATGAAACATGAAAAATGAACGCCCACAAGTTTCTATGTTGAAAGATATAAAGTAAAGCCTTGCCTTATCTCTTCAGGCATTTTTACAACTATTCACACCTTGGAGCATGTGACCAAAACCATTCCCATGGCAACAGTAGAGACATGTTTGCATTGTCGGAACACCAGCAAGCCAAACGAAGTGAATTGAAAGGAGGGTTTGGTCAGAGATTATAAATGTCCTCAATGGCCCCTTTCGTGTCCTTAATGGCTCCATTTCTCTAAATACAACTTTTAAACCTGCTACTTTCGGACATGTTTAGAAAAGTGAAATATTTTGGATAAGAAATGAGATGTCTTTAAGAAAAGGGAAGGAATCCAGTTTTCTTCTACTTTCAGATGTATGACTGTTGTAGCCTGAGAAGTTCCACTAGTCTAAAAGAGGACAATGCAACTTTATGAAAGGTGATAGGATAAGTGCTATTCTACTGGTTATGGGGAACTGTGCAAATAATTGTCAGCAGAGATTCTACTATTTGTGTCACTGGCCTCTTTTTCCATTTAATGAGTAGAAAGTAAAGCTATATATATCTAGTTCTGATCTTGTGGGTTATGTAGCTTCCCTATTAGTCTAAATAGCCATGTGTCCAATCCAATTCAGTCTGACTGTATAGCAGCAATTTATAACATAAGACAAGGGACAAACAATCTTTTTTGGTTTAATTAAATTTCAAAGTCATGAAAAGAGGATATTATTCAGTCTTAATTTGTGAATCTTAGAGCAAAATAACATCACTCTGTCTGTCTCCAACATCTAGAGACAGCTGGAGGCCCACCAGGAAGAGGGCATGGTGGTGTCTCACATGGTGGTGGCCGGAGTGGGCATTTGGATCGCGTTCAGCTCCGGTTCAACTGTACGCCTCTTCCACACTGAGACCTTGGAACACCTGCAGGACATAAACATTGCCACAACTGTCAACAACATCCTGCCTGGTAAGGCTGTAGTGTAGACCTAAATGAAACTTTTTCTATGTATCTTTTGTTTCTTGAACAACTTTACGTCTCTTTTTTAAAACACTATATATTCCGGAAAAGGAACAAAGAACTTCACCCTGAACAAACCAGAATGTTGTAAAATTTGGGTATGGTTACATGATGCTGTGAGGATGCTTTTTGTCAACACGGACAGTAAAACTGGGAAAATGGAGATAAATGCATGAGTTAAATACTACTGAAAATCAGGCTAATTTGCAATTCCTTGTTTGAAAAGACTAAATGAGGCCCTGAAATATTTAGCTTTAAGTTGTTCTAAATGTATTATGTTTGAACTTGCAAATCAAAATTTTAAAGATTTCTGTTTCCATGTAGAGACACTTCTTCCTCAGCTCCTTTCCTGGTTTAGGAAGGAATCCTTTAGTATCAGTGCTGTACTCATACAAAGAGTTGAATTCGCATTACTGATTAGCCAGGTTTACCACAGTAGCAAAATATTTATATTCACCTGACTTAACTAGTGACATAATTTCTCCTTTGCAGAAAAAACTAGTTAACATGTTTTGTACTCCTGTTTTTATTGGATTGATTTACATTGATATCAGAATATTGTTTGCCAATCACACCAGTTTTCACTTCACTGTGTGATCTGGAAATTGGGAAGGAATATATTGCTCTGACTAAAGTCTTTTATAGTATTTCAAGATTTAGTCCAGCTGTGTGTAGTATCTCTTTGATTTTTGCTGTTACTCAGTAATTTGTATGCTTCACAAAGATCAAACACAGCCTAAAATTGGAACGTAAAGGAGAGTGGTTTCAGCTTCACTTTCTTCATCTAATAAAATTGAATATGTCCCTGGATTCCAACTAAGTTATGGAGACTTTGTTCTCACATTTTGATGGAGTTCCCCAAATCATCACCCAGGTATCAGCTGACAGCATAGACTTGCATCAAAATAGCTTTTTATATTTTGTTGTTTTTATTTTCTCTATTTCTTTCATGTCAACGGTAAGCTTTATCTTTCTGGAAGAAGAAGATGGATTCTGATATCTTAAAACTGTCAAAAAGTAATGTGACATTTAAAAAGTATTGGATAAACAAAATATAAAACTGTGAAGACGTTGGGCTTGTAAAAACCTACTTTGGAATTAATTGAAAGACTCAAAATCCAAATATAACAGTTTCTAAGGTTTTTATTACCTTTGACAAGTTGACAAATGCATAAAGTTTAAAGCAATACTAGTAAAAGCGAGAACTTTGGGAACATTGTTTTGTTTTTAGTCTTTGTAGAGCAGTTTACTTTAAAACATTCTGTGATAAAGGCTCAACTCTCAGTCAGTGATTGAGTAAGGCGGTGCAGCTGTAAACCTGTCATTAACAAACTGTGCTACCTGAACAAATGAGCCATGGCTCATAGAAGATTTGAATCCAGATGGCTTTTATTGTGGAGAGCAAATATTTATTTTATGGCCTTTATAGAAGAACACCCAAGTTACATTGACTTTGGAAGTAACATGGAGTTTCTGCCAAAAAAGACTGAGTTCAACCCAAACACTTATGTCTCTCAGCACCACCATTGTATCTGAATGTTTCCATTAATAGTTTCATTATAATAAATGATTATGTATTTAGGACAGTTTCCAAGCTTAAACTGAAACATTGGGTTTACATCACTTGTGTTGTGTCTGAAAACATCAGTGACCTCCTGCGCTGGATCTTGTAATCTGCTGTTTTGTATCAGTATGACCCAAAAACATTGAGCCGAAGAGCATTGCTGGTGTTGTGGGTGCATTACAGTTGTAGTTGCTTTTAGTAATTTTTTGTTTTTCCGTCTGTCTTCACCGGAGATGCATCGATCACAGATTGTGTCTGTTTCTCATCACCAATTCCCTAAAGCTTTGACCTGTTACTGATTGGAGCTAATTCAGATTATCTTTTCAAAACTATAAATATCAAGTAAATGCTTTTTATTTTCTGAATAAATAGAATAGTGAACCATCTTTACTATCTTATGGGGTAGTAAAACAAATACCTTGGTGAACAGTATTTGTGTTACACTGCTGGCAGCTGAGGAACAGTAAAGTTCACGGAGGTAATTATATCCACATTATGAGATATAATTAAAATCTAACTAAATATAATTTCACATTCCCTTTAGTCATTTATAAAGCAGATCTCCAACTTTTTCACTTTCCTTTTCTTTGTGTAATATCATTTACACAAAAAAGTCATACACTTATTTTTTCTACACAACCCATTCAAAATGAACAACTATGTTCTTGTTAGTATTTGGGATTAAAACCCACTAATTTCATGAGTGCTAAATCATTTTGCAGTTTTATTATACATGTACCTCAAACATTTCTGTTTTAGTTGATCATTAATTATCTCGATCGGGATCATTGGCAAAGTCGCAATGTTCTGCACCTTTTTCTTAAAGATTTTTAAACACCTTCTCATTACTGATCTATCTAAGTAAGTCTTAGCTACTTAGTGCTTCCTCATTAATGAGTGTTCATCAGCTTGACCTGGTAGCACTCTGAATGGTGCATTCACTGACTAAGAACAATGTTGGATTTTTCATTTCATTGTTATCTTTGGTCTGTGCATCAGATGTATTCAGATTTATGTGCATTTTTTAAACCTCAGAGCTGCAGCTTTGGGAGAATAGTTTCACAAGTAGTGAGGAATTTTAAATGATCTGTGTGTGTTATTAAAGAGCAGGATTAGATCTTTTAGGTTTAAAATCTCCAGACCATCCACTCAGAATTTCTGTATCCATGTCAGCAAATTATTACTTGTGGGATCATGATAATAGACACCATGTCTGAGGATGGCCCTCAAGCAGCTGACATGCTGCCTTGAGTTGTACTGTGTTTGAGCCTCCAAATAATATCCTCTACTTAGAGTAATAAGTGGAAGTGTTCTTTGTCTGAGAGATGTGGGTGATAAAAGCGATTGGTTGAGGGAGCTCACCGTCTTTATTGGTTAATGGTATCTGTGCAGCCACAGGAAGTTGGTTCAGGGACAAGCCGACACATGAAAGCCTTCATCTTCTGGGCAGTGCCATTTCCTCTGATAGTGATACAGGAATTTGAGACTGTCAGTTTATGTGGAAATCTAAATCAAGGTTGAGCTGCAATAATTTGGGATATTTTACCAAAAACGTACTGTAGACTCTTGTCTGGCTTTTTGTCATTTCCTGCTGTTTGTGTTACACTGCTGGCTACTGAGGAACAGAGCAAGACCAAAAATTGTGCTTCCTCTGCATGAATTCTGACGTAACTGGAACTTCAAGCCAAATTGGACTGCATGGTTTGACTGCAATCTGTGTGTTAGAAGGAAAAAGTGATGGCTGACTCCTGCACCACATTGGTGTTTATTCACAGAGGTGGAATAACATAATCTGTTTATAAAGAAGATAGCGAAGCATTACTTTACACTGAGGTATAATTCTCCAGTTTGTAAGAAGACTTGATGTGATTATGGCTTCTCAGCACCCCCAAGACCACTGCTGATTCAGAAATATTATTTCTACAAAAGGCGGAAAAGCATGGGGTGTTGCCCTCAGTGTGACTGCCTTTATCAATGGTGCAGTGTTGAATCAAGGAGGAGCTTTGGGGTGGAGTTCTCCTACTCATGTTCATGCACGTCGGAGCAGTTCTACCAGTCACTGAACAGACAGAGCAGAGGTTCCTTATCTAGGCAATGTTCTCACAGATGGCTAATAAGCTATAACTGCAATCATTTGGTGGTGCCATTGAACACTTTGAATAATCCAGGACAAGTAATTTGCATCAAGACAAGCATGTCATTACAGAAGAAGGAAAAGGTGTACTAATTAAAGTTAGGAGTAATACTTTTAAAGAGAGCCAAATAAACTGCAGATTACACCATTACAGCAAATTGCTATAATGGTGGACTAAGCTAGTTTACTGACTGCAGTGGTGAGGGTCTGCCATTGTCTTGTGCTATGTAACCTAAATATGCAGCCATGCATGGTCTATTAGGAGACAAATATCAGGGGGCTGATAAATAACTCATCCAGACATTTCTTTGTTTTTGCACCACTAATATTGCATCTTAAACCACATTTAACACATATTGATGAAACGATTGTTCACTGACCCTGAGATTAAAGGACAGATTGGGTGGGACAGTGCTGGATAAAAAGTGAACACTATAATTAAACCTGTCAATGCACCTACAAAATGGTCACTTTCTGTACCAATTTAGCATGTTTCTTGCAAAAAATAAATTAATAAAATTGAAGTTCCTCTGATTTTCTGCTTAAATTCACCCTCAAGTTTAAATTTCATACTGCAATTGTTTTACAGCAAATCTTTGTGTGAACTACTATGTTTTTTATTTTTTATTTTCTTTTTTTATTCATTTCCTTTATTTAACCAGGTGAACCCCGTTGAGATCTAAATCTCATTTTCAAGAGGGATCTGGGCAGAAGACTGCAATACACAGCAACCTGGTTATAAGATAAAATCAAAATACTTATGCTGAATGCATGAATGTAGTTTATCAGATAATAACAGTAGAAATAGACAAAACGGCAACTGGCCTATAAAATTGTAGTATCTGTTGGTGTAGGGGCAAATTGGACACTAATGTCAAAAAGTTTCCAACCGAACAAACTCAGTGACAATTTTCTTTGACTCAGTTTGGTTTAAACTACTCAAATTGTTGTTCGAGGAGCATAAACTCATTATTTTGGATAAACAACATACCCAAAGTTTTTTTGTATGCATGCGTCAGAAAAGGTTTTGGGTCACAGGTCCAGCAATAGGCAATTACTCACAATGTGCTGATCTGAGGTATTTCTGGACTGACTGAATGGCTGATGGAGCGTGTTTTTGTAATTTTTGAAATCTACTCCTCCCTCCTGCTGCTGATTGTCAGGTCTTAGTGCGGATCAAAGAGGTTCTCTCCTGCAGGATTGGGTCCTGAGCCGGCCCGCGTTGATGCTCTCATAGGGTTTATTTTAGTTCACCCTCTGGGTGGGGAACTCCAAATATTATGAAAGGAGGAAGTTGAGCAAGGCCTCTGACCAGGAGTCTGTGTTTCTCCCGACTCTGATCCCTCATTAGAAGCACATGTGGGTAAGATGTTAGTGTTAAACTCTACCAGCCTGCCTATCTGGCAGGAATTTAAGAAGTATGGCAGGCTGGCGTGTGTGCCCCATGGATGGGGTCAGCTCTAGAGAAGCGGGGGTGGGGACGGGGTCGGGCACATAGACCGGCAGTAATTTTTCCAAAAGCCCAAGAGGATTACTTTGAGGGAGGAAATTCAAGTCAAGCTGTTACAGCAGTAATGACTCATGGCAGTCTCACCTCCCACGAAGGAGACACTGTTTTAGCAAGCTTTTTGCTAAAATTGTCTTTTTGCAAACATTTTTTTGCATCCACACAAATATGATAAAAATATTCAGATATTAATGCAACATTTGTAGCGTGAGAAAGCTTTTATGCTTTGAATGGGCAGAATTGCACGTATTTGAGAAGAACTGCCAGCAGGCTGATTTTACTACCCTCTGAGCTGAAAGGTGTTGTTAGCTTAACAATCGCAGCTCTTACTATCCGACCAGGCTTCAGTGATTTTTCTGAAGAGGAGAGAAAGAAAAAGGTCATGATGGCTTGTCCTGCTGTAATAGCCGTAAGTTTTCTGAATAGAGGCATAGCTTCTTCCTTAATTACAGCATTACGCTTCACTCGGCCTGTTACATAACGCTTTTTGTGTTTGTTTGCTTGACTCAAAGCTGGCCATAATGCTGCATTTTTCTTTGTTCAGGCGCTTGAAAAGGGCTGCTTTTATCCACACTCCTCTTCACGTTGCCCTGGAGACACGCAAGCTTTGAACATCATGGCTGCAGAAAATGCTGCCACATTGTAAAACAAAGCCTGTCCCTCTTGTCTGGTGAAGTGAACCATTAATAGTGCAGTTTTTTCTCATTTTTCCAGGAGACACTCTGTGTGGGAGGATGTGTTTGCCAAGGCCTTGCTTCTTTTATGCAAATATCATTGAATTTACTATAGAAACACTTTGATAGATGTAAGAATAAACTGTTTTGCTTTTTTCTGCAGGAAATCAGAGAGTCTCTGTGAGCAGTCTGCTGGTTTGCCATGGGTTGCTACTGGTAGGAACCAACTTGGGAGTGACTGTGGCGCTTTCTGTCCCCAGACTACAAGGGATCCCCAAAGTAACAGGTAACATACAACTAAAGTGCATTATGTTTCTTAAAATGCAAACAGGGTTGCAAAAGTGAGTTCCAAGATTTGGGTTTTAATTTACATTCACTTACGTCATCCTGAAATGGACAAGAAGAATGTAATAAAAGTTTAGAGAGTAATTTTATGTATGAATAAATGTAACTGTCAAGTATAACACTTTGAGTGACATCTGTTCTATAAAAGAAGTTTGACTGATAGAGATGTGTAAAAAGCCTTTAAATGTGTTTTTATTAAATGTAATGCTTGCATTTTGTAAAACTCAATTAGAGTAATTACTCACTGAGAGAAAATTTACATATTAAGTAATTCTCACTGAGTCCCCTAACAATTTCTACGAGAGAAATGTAACTACAGCTCTTGATTCTAAGACACTTAAAATTTCAAATTAGTAATCCATCTCTTGTTGTATTTAAGCACCAGGGAAACAACAACACACAAAGACCAACTTCAGTCTAGTCCCCACTGACCAGAAGGTTGGATGAAGATCTGTGTTTGTCTCATCATGCACACAATATGCAGGCAGTTGAAGCAAATCTGGAGAGTTTACTGTTGAACTCCTGCAAAGAGTGATATCTTGGGTAACCAGGTTTACATAGCTTCGCTATCTCCCTGCCAACTGGGTGTTTAGGATTCATACCTTCTCCTTGCTAAGCAACTTTAAATACGTGGAGTTGGTAATGGGACTTTAAAGCCATATCCTTTAGTCAGATAAACTTAGACTGAGTTCTAGCGTGTAAAAAAAAAAAGCTCATACTACCTGATACTTTTCTACATTATTCACCAGGTTTGTTTGCAATAGAGTCGCACAGCATAGATAACACAATAACACAATCACAAAAGACTACTTTGGAAAAATGATTTGTAGATTCAACCTGTCTGGTCAAATAGAAAACGCAAGGTGATGGGATATGAAAAACAAACAATAGAGGCAGAAAACTCTGGGTTAGAAATAATTCACATAATCTCAGTTTTCAGCGACAGCATCACGACTGCACAACTTCTTGACTTTCACACTGAAATTCCCCCCATAGTAGAAAATCAGCTTTGTTGCTGTAATCCCCTGAATCCTCAAGTGGGGGAGGTTTGTTTCAAATGACCTGAAACTGGCACTGAAAATTGTGCCAGACGGTTCCATCCCCAGATGTTACACCACCAAGACTAAGTTTTACACCCTGCATTGTCTCTTGGTATTCTTTGCTGCTCAACAACACTGTAGAAAGTAGAGTAGAGCAAGGAAGTTTACTCACTGGAAGTTTAAACCAGTGCGATTTGTTTTGGTAGACTATTTTTCTTATAAAACTATTGTTTGCACACTATATATAATTTTTCATAGATGTAAGTACTTGAACACAAAGCTTGTTAATAGACCACAATTGATGTTTTTTACTTTAATTCTTCAGGACGAGGAATGGTGTCATTACATGCACACAATGGGCCCGTCAAGTTCCTCACCGTGGCTACGGCGGTGCGTAACTGGTCGTCTAACCTTCCATCTTCCGCTCCTTCCTCCTCACTCCAACACATGGAGTCTGTGGATGCAGACAGCACCCAGCCCATGTCAGACACAGCTTCCAGTCCCCCTCAGGGACAGAGTGTGTGGCTGGGAGAGGCAGGCTGTACCACCATGGCTCTTCAGGACTCTCTGTCCTCTTCTTCCTGTGGTTCCTTAGCTCCCTCCCAAGGTTCACTGGAGCATGGCCCAGAGGACGGGGCGTTGTACGACTTACTTCATGACCCCGCCCATCACCAAAGGGGGCGTCGCTCCAGCAAGATGGATGTCAGCTCTCTGCTAGTTGTGTCTGGAGGCCTGGGCCACCGCAGAGTCAACAAAAAGACCAAACAGTCTCGCCACGAGGACAACACCTCCACCATCATGATCTGGCAAATCCCATTACTGAACATGCGACACCAAAACCCCAATGGTGTTAGTCTGAATACCTGAAAACTTCACAAAATCTTTCTCATCTTTTCTATTCATATTTTTTTTTTTCCATGTTGAACCAAATGATCTGCATATGGTCCTCTGTTGGCGGTCTGCTAGCATTTCACCAAGTATTTTGGATCAATCACATCAACTAAATGCCCCATTTCATACCAAAATATTTGCCTTCTGCTATATCGCCACAATATTCCAGCCTTGTAAATGGGTTATTAGTCAGATCACTTAATCACTTTTAATGTTTATGCAAACAGCTCCTACAAATGGGTCAAAAAATCTGCTGTGCCTCGTAACATTATGTAATACCACTGAAACTTTTTTCATATGTTGCCATTTAACAACCACACACTTCAATGCATTTAATTGAACTATTTGACAATAGACCAACACAAAGTATGGGGTTTCAACATCTTTCATTAATGAAATTCTCTTCAGTTGCAGCTGCAAGTCTTTAGTGGTTCAAATCTGCCAGTTTTTAACATCTAGAGACTGAAACTTATCAGTTTTTATTCACAAAGTTCAAGCTCTGTCTGATTGGAAGTAACTAATCTGTGATTACCAATTTCCTAGTCTTGACATAGATTGGGAAATTGTTTTGGTTCTGCCTTTGATTATCTCATTCTACTACATATATGTCCTAATCAATCTAAGCCATTTTATTATAGCTCTGACTGCATTTTTAGGTGCATTGTCCTGCTGGAAGGTGAACCTCTGTGCCACTCTTAAGTATTTTGCTCTCTGTGTATTTAATCTGATGCACAGTCGGTTTTTGCTTCAAGATATACTTTTGTGGGACAGAAGGTTAGGTTTTGGTGCTTGCTTTACGGATTGTTGCAAACTGCAGAGGGTACTTTTTATGGTTTTTCTGCAACAATGGTTTTCTAGCTTCTTGTCGCTTTTCCAGAAAGGCAAAATTTGTGAAGTTCACTACTAACATTTCTATCAACAGATTATCTCATTGAGTTCTGGATCACTGCATGTCCTCCAAAGACAATTTTTGTTGAAGGCGACATCTTGCTAAATTTGCTGCTGTGCCACACTTTTTCCATCTTTGAATGATGGACTGAGCAGTTTCAGTAAAAAACGATGAAGTTATATCTTTGAATGATGGACTGAGCAGTTTTAGTAAAAAACGATGAAGTTAGTGGCTGTAATAAGACAAAATGTGGGAAAAGTACAATACTTCTGCAAGGCACTGCACTGCAAAAAACGGAAATTATCTTGGGGAAAAAACTGAAAAGTCTCTAATTTTATATTGTGTTTATTGTTTATCTGTGATGTGGCTAAATCATGTTAATTTTCTCGGGTGTGTGTGCTAGACTGCAGTATTTAAATCAGTGTTGAAAGATAAGGGTCAAGTAATGACTGGGGCTTGGAGGGAGTGCAAGGTAAGAATGGAGCTTTGAAACAGCCTCAGCATGGATTAGATCACCCATCAGGATCAGAGTTGTAAATCTGACGTGTTATGAATCAGGATTAGGTGTATGAGCTGAGAGAACTTTGACTTTTCTGTAGAAGGATTTATACAAATAAGCAAAGTTCTGATGGTTGAATTTTTATAAGAAGGCATCTGAGCATCCCTGGCAGGCCAGGTTTCTGTTCATAGAGGACATGTGATGTAGAAGGTTTCTTTTTTTTCTGCCTTTATGCATGTTTGTTTCCCATATATTTAAAAAAATGATAAAAGGATTTATACTTTGAAAACATTTGTATGTACCTATGTATATTAACAATTCTATAAACAGTGTTTTATTAAGCAAACTTTGGTACTTTTTGTAAAGTCGTCTTTAAACAACTTTGAGAATATTCATCCATGATGCATTGCAATAACTCATTTGTTTACATTCATTCCTGTGTTAAAACGTGAGGAGAGTTGGCAAGCTGATTGAATTAAGAGAAAAACAAAGACCTAAACAGAGGGTCAGTATTGCTTTTCTTCTTCACTCACTCCAGCCTTGTACTCAACTGTGCTTGTGTGCAGCAATCAGTACATGCCAAGACTAGCAATGTGCCTGAGGGGGCCACAGAAGCTCAGCCTGATACGGCTCTTCCGGGATTTCTCCTGCTTCGCAACAGAAGCAGGTCAAGGTTTCCTTTCTCTCAACGCCCACATCCAAGGTTACACAACAACCATGTTTCCTTAAATCATCTGTTTTGACCAAAAGTATAATTTCAAGCTGGAATCAGTCCCACACTGCAGTCCAAACCAACACAAACTGCTGGGGCATATCATAGTTTTGTAGGGTGGACATGAACTTAAGAAAACACTGAGCTAATTCATTCTCAGTGAACCAAAAGACTAACCCAGTTATTACTTTCCCCAGCATTTCAGAGACTGGAAGGCTTTTTTAGGTTTTCCTTCCAACACTGAGGTTTCTATGACGAAAGTCAGTGCCCGTATCAGCGTTCAACAAGCTTTTGTTCTCAGCTTCTGACATTAAGGTTCATTTTCTTCTTGCCCTCTAATCCCACAGGCTTAATAGCTGTGTGATGCTTTCTCTGTGGCTCCTCTATTTTTATATCTGAAGGCCAGTTATGAAGGTGTTTTCATGGAGGGTCCCTTATTATGGACTCTTGATGCTTTTATTTTCGAAGCTCCTGCTGTCTTGAGATGTCTATCCTCAATAATTTGTGCTGAAGCAAACATTTTTTCACAAAACTTCTAATATTGTAAGTATTAACAGAAGTCAGGTCTGTGTTGTGTTGAGCTGTAAGCTTCATGATAATTTCCAAAGTTCAGTGTCCTGAACATTCAGAATATCAAATTATCAAAATAGAGGATTTTTAGTCCATAAATGCCACCCAACTGAAAATATGTCTATGAACTGTACAGAGAAGTATTAGCATAAGTGACTGTAATTCAGAGATCTTTTGCATAAGTGGATTGATGCAACATGTAGCTATGTGAAAGAAACCCAGGTTGCTTTAATAATTGGCTGTAACTCTTCTGAATTACTAGTGCTGTTATCACTCAACAGCCTCTTGACAATAGGTTCAGACTCGTACGTCTGAACCTGTTCTATAAAACACAACACCAGCAGAGGACATGATGCCTTCTCCCATAAATGTCCAACCTTGGAAACTTAACACTGCAACTCAGACTCTGTGCCTCTCCACTCCCTGTTGCCTGTGCGTCTCTTATGCTTATTCCTTCCACTCATCTTTCCATGAGTATTCTTGAATAGGAGCTCTGCGAATGGCCAACTTCTTTAACAATGAGGTACTTTGGCTTTCCCTTCTTAGTCGCACTCTGTTGGTAATCTGTATAAAGTCATCAGTCACTGGTATGGTTTTGTGTAGACGTTGAAATGTCTGCAAAAATCCTATTAAACTAAATTCTCCATGTTCTACAAACAATATTCATTTAAATTAACCAACTTAACACTTGAAATAAATTAATATGTGACAAACTTTTAAAAAATAAGTTTCACTTTTTGAGTTTAAATAAATTTGGTTTTACATAAAATAAATAAATTAAAAAAGAAGAATAGATACAACAGTAACCCATAATTTTCCTCAGTTACTATGGTGTCCGTGACAGATTAGATGCGTAATGGAATGTCGCATCTCTCGGACGCCTCCACAGTGCGCACCGCAAATGGAGAGCTTCGCCCTGTTGACTGTGGGGTTAATACCGTCTGAAGAGGGCGGAGTTTAAGATCAATAATCGCCACCTCATTCCTGTCAACACTTTGGAAAAGAAAACAAACCCCACCGTCCAAGCTGGAGGTGTGTGAGAGAAAACTAACTATCGTTTTCAGGAGGAGACGAAGAGAAATCAGGACGCCTGATGTGCGCAGCAGCTCCGAGCTTGTGGAAGAAATGACACGGCGATGTTGATGAGGAGGAGGTGCGACCTGGAGCTGGTCTTTAATCGCTTCGCCTTTTTTCCCCCCTTTACTACGGAGCCCCGGCTGATTCTGGGATCTGGGGAAATGCACCAGTTCTACGAGTCGACGGGAGATCAAGGTAAATCCTGAACGGAAGGGATAACCCGTCTGAAAGTAAACTCATTCAGAGGAGCACCGCGTCTGCTTCATCCGTGCCGCCTTACGTAACTCAGCTTTGTGGAGAGGCTCCCAGAGACGCTGCTGGTGCCGACCTGTTTCAAAGCGAAGGATCATAGGTAGGTAGGTTTATTTTGAATGGATTTACACCCATACTCCTGATTCATCATGATCAGTAATCCATTATTTTTCCTCTGTCATGTGTATTAAATCTACATGGTCTTAACATTATCTGCGCCATAACAGTAGAATACATTAGAACCTTTTTTTGAAAAATAATAATATGTAGGCCGTCTATATTTCTGGTTTACACCACTACCGAGTCAACTGAATTTGCGCATGCGTTCTAATTGTCTCCAGATTACCACATGTATAAGGGACAGCGTAATTATGGCAGTATGTTCAGGATGTGTTTTGGAACTGCTGCACTTCAGTGTCGCATGTCTGGCTTGCGATTGCATTTCAGTGTTGGGCTTAATAACAGTTAATTTCCGATGTAAAATAATCTAGATTTCAGATCTCTGTGGTTATTTTTATGGAGAAACGGCGCCTCTTAGAGAATGAACACGCCTTTGCGTCGCTAAGCATCCCCCCTCGTACGTCTTAACATTTTAATAAATTATTCAACGAGTAGTAATATCACACAACTTTACTTTCGTCACTTGAATAAAGGACGTTTAAATCTAATTTTAAAGTAGGGAGTCATCCAAATCCATTGTGTCCTGTATTTGCACAATGATAAATCCTGATTGTTCTAACACGTGTAGAATCAAGACTTTGTTGAAATGAAGCCAGTCTGACAGCATAAAGTAGGCAGACTGATCCCAAAAAGCAACATGTTGTGCTCACAGTCAGTGACCTTCAAGAGCAAATGAAAAACTGAGTCTTTGACAGCTATCAGTCTGGAAAACTTGACGAAGCCATTTCTATGGCTTTTGAGTCCCAGGAAGCCATTATTCACAATGCAGAAAACATGACTGATTAATTTTACCAAAAGTTACCAGGCTACCAAATTTCCTTCTCAATTCATCAATAACCTATCCAGTTGGTAAATGAGCCGAGAACATCATCTAAAGCACTGCTGATCTTTCTTATCTCACTTAAGCTGAATGTTCTTGATTTAACAGTAAGAAAAATACTAGGCAACAATGCCATCCATTTCTGACCTCCTCGGTGAAAACTACAGCTGACACAAAAGGCCCATATCTTGTTGGACAAAAAACATCATGTGTTCCCCAAGACATTACAGTAGGAAGTTGTGTATCCCACTGCAAAAGTAACACAGGATGTCATAAAAATAATCAAACATGGTAGCTGTAGAGTGATGGTTTAAGATACCAAATACATTTTCACAGCACCTTCCATTACTTCTATTTTGACTTATTATTGTTTTTTCCCCCTTTTTCTTTAGAGTAAGAAAGAAGAACATACCAAATACTTTATCTGATCCGTCACCATGGCCATTGAAGACGCTGCCTGAGCTGAGTGATATGAACGAGGATCAGAGACAGGAAGGAGGAATAATCACTGTGGAGGCTGATGCCATCATCCACACCATGAACCCTGACCTTATCACACTTTCTGACAAAAATAGGAATGTATGTTCAGGTTTCGTCCAGGGGCTCTTGCAGGATGACCCAGACTTCAGTGCTCCTCCAGTGTTTGAGCAGGAGTACCTGCTCGATGGAAGACCAATAGAGAATAACCACTGTGATCATGCAAAAGGAAGCAGCTCCTACATCCCTAAAGTTGATCAGTTTTCTACAGATATGGGAAAGCCAAATAACTCTCCTCATGGTGACTCTGCTGAGTCCAATCACATTGCTGGCCTGCACCAAAATAGCGCAAGTGATGAACTCCGCAATGGAGCAAGAGCAAAAGTGTCTTTCAATCTAGATTCCCCTGGGAATCAATCCAAACAGAAAACTGATTGGTCAGTTCTAAAACCAAAAGACTGCAGTGATAGCAGTCTAAAAGCTGATGGCACACAGCCTGAAAAAGAACCTGATTTAGTCATTGAAGTTGGTGGACAGACTATCAATGCTCACAAGTCTGTCCTTGCGGAGAAGAGTGACTACTTCAAAGCACGTCTGTCGCGGAACATTTTGAAAGTGAAGGGCATGAGTTATAAGACTTTGTCTACACTTATTGACTACATCTACACCTCCCAGATCAGTGTTAGTAAGGACAATGTGGTTGATGTCATCACAGGAGCTAAAATCCTGCAGATCCCCTGTGCCGTTCAGGCCGCCATGGATTCCATGTCTGAGCAGATCACATCGGAGAATTGCTATGAGATTCTGACCATCACCAAGAAACAGCGACTTAGTGAACTGAAGGAGACAGCATATAGATTCATGAGTGATAACTTCCTTCAGATCCTCAAGGATCCTGCAGTCTATGGACGCCTTACTGGGTCTGAAAGGGATCTGGTCTTGAAGAAGAGAATGGAGGGGAGAAAGACATTGATGGTTGCAGAGGTAAATGACGTGTTTGATCGAGTTGGTAGCCGGCCACCAAGCCGCTGTGGCAGCCGACCACAGAGTCCTTTGTCTGTTGGGTCTTCAGAGGAGAACCATATGATTTACTGTTTTAGTGAAGCTGAAAATGACTGGCGACCTTTGACTGTGATGCCAGAAGACGTAAACATTAAAGGCTGCGGTATTTGCACCATGTACAATTACCTGTTTGTGGCAGGTGGGATAAGTGGCTATGGGGACAAGGGCAAAGTGTCAGATAAGGTCTTTTGCTACAACCCAATAACCAATCGCTGGGCTGAGATTAGACCCTTGAACCAGGCACG